CAGACCCTCAGGGTCAGGTGGACCCAATTATTTTGTTCATGGTAAATCTGCAGACCTACCCTAGCCAAGGGACTTAATGCTCCAAGCCCCTTCCACCTCAATAAAAAATGGTGCAAGAATAGAAATAATTGTTGTTCTCACTCTAGAGACAACCTGCTTTGAGTCTACTGAAGGTGTGCTCCTTTCCTAGTAAAGCCTACTACCACTTTGACCACACCAAACAAAACCTTTTGTGTTCCCCACTGCATCCAGTACAGTGCCAGTTAATACAGAGGAATCAAATGGACCCTCGTGACAGTGGAGGACATGACGAGTGGAGTGGGAACCTTGCCATCACCATCTTGAGCCCAGGTGCTAAAGACATGTGAAGCCCAGACAGAGGGACTCCCTTCAACAGGGGCGATGCCTGCCTGGCTATTTGTTGAAGGCAGTGTCTCATGTATCTGCAAACAGTTAAGTCAAATAACCACCCTTCCACCACAAATGTCACCTACAGTAGACACAGGCTGATAAACACTGCCATAAAGATAAGATGTCAAGACAACTGTATTAGGCTCTCTTAATCCCATCGGCATCTCAGTCAAGGGAGATTTGATGTCTGAATCCCACAGGGGCTATCACCAGGCCATGGTGTAGAATTCAATCTTCTGTTCAGCCCAACATGATTTTTATTGACACACTCTGTCCTTCATCAAATTTCTCTCTCTCTCTTCTTCTCTGTTAATTTTTTTCTTTTTTTGATGGCAGTGGGCTCTGAACTCAGGGCCTCACGCTGGCGAGGCAGGCACCCTTAACACTTGAGCCGTCCTGTCAGCCCTTCTCTGTTAATTTGTGATTGGACTCCTCTCCTCTCCTTATTCCTTCTTGCTTTCTCCTTTTCCATTTCTCATTTTCATTTTCCTAAGTAATCATGTCTCTTCCATCTCTTCTCTGGGCACAGGCTCACTCTTCAGATTCTACTGGACATGCAGAAATGTTCACCTTACATCAAGAAGGCTTTGAAACAAGGGGCGATATGGATGGGAACTGTTGATCTTATTGTTTATAAAATTGTTTATCAACTTTGTTGGTCTTATTATTTCAAATATTCGGCAACTGATGTTAAAAGAGCCTTGTGCCTTTTCCAGTGCACCCTTTGTGTAGATACTTTGGGATTATGTGACATATAAGATGATATATTTTGCAAATATTTGTTGCATCATTTGGTCTGAGAGCCAAAGTCCATAGAACCCCCTTCCCAGATGTCAGACCACACATTGCACCAAGGAAGAGCATGTGGTATCTGTGAAAATCTGTTGGAAACCTGTGTTATTCAGTTTTCTGTCACCATAACAAAATACCTGAGGTAATCAACTTACAAGGAGGAAAGGTTTGTTTGGGCTCACAGTATTGGAGGTTTCGATTCATGATCAGTTGGCCCCACTGCTCTTGGCCTGTAGCGAGACAGCACACTGTGGTGGTTGAATTTGGCAGAGAAACATCACTAACTTCAAGGCCAGGAAGCAAAACAGAGCGAGGGGGAGCCCTAGAATCCCTTTCAAGGGCATCTGCCCAATGACCTAAGACCTCCCACTACACCCCGCCTTTTTAAGGTCCCAATAACACACACCAGGGACCGAGCCTTTACTGTATGGGAATTTGGGGGAGACTCAGCATCCAAACTATGGCAAAACCCTTCTGTGTTAAGCATTACTCTGGCTTGATTTCTATATTCATATTGAAAAGCAAGCAGAGGCCAGGCATGGTAGCACATGTCTGTAATCTCAGCAGTTGAGAGACAGAGGCAGGAGGATCTCAAGTTCCAGGTCAATCAAGGGCTACATAGAGACACCCTGTCTCAAAAAAAAGAAAAAATACATGGCTGTTTGAATGTTCTGAATAAGATAAGAATACATACTGACAGACCTGGCAAAGACAAATATGTCAGAACATGTCCCCAGCTTAGAAAGACAGCCCTCCAACATGCCAACACTTGGCCATCAGGCATGGCCACCCCAAATTCCTAAATTCCCAAATCCCTAAGGATCCCCAAGCTGCCTGTCTAACTGTAGAGATGTGGAGATTGGGAGGATCTTGATTTAAGGCCAGCCCAGCAGAAAGTAAGTGACACCCCATCTCAACCAAATCGGCTGGGTGTAGTGATGTGTGCCTGCCATCCAAGCTATGCATGAAGCATAAAAAGAAAGAATGTGGTCCAGGCTGGACCTATGCAAAAGCACCTAGAGCAAAACAAGGCTGGAGGTAGAGTCCTGCCTAGCAAGCACTGTGCTCTGAGTTCAAGCCTCAGGACCACCAAACCCCCCAAAAAAACATCACCACCAACAAAAACCTGCAGAGACCCTCCCTTGGGCAGAGGGCAAGGACTAGTGTGAGAACTGTCTGAATGTTGCTCAGAAGTGTCTGTCTCTTGATAGTTTGACATTTTCTTTGAAGCTAATCATGCAACAAGAAAGATCAAGGGCTTCTACAGTCAGACTGGCTGGGATCTTGAGACAGGTTTGGCCACTGCCCAGCTCTGTGACCTCGGGTTACTTGGTCCTGCTGGACCTTGGCTTCATCTATGAGTGGCCATGCCACTCACATATAAGACTATTGAGAGAATCAGAGATAATATATGCAGAGGGCCTCGGTGGTACTCAAAATCACACCTATTATTCTGAGCAGAATGCCTAAGTTTGATTTCAGGGGCCCAGGATAATCTAATATAGTCTGTTAAACATCTGATATTTAAAATGCTGAAACTAAAGACTTAAGGTAAACAGATGAAAGCTTGACACGAAGAATCACACTCAACACACACCCACACTCATTCCTGAGCTACGGCAATAACTTGTGCCTCCTAATATCTTAAGCAAAAAGACTTTAGGGTCTCATCTCTGTCCCCTCTTTCCTCAGCACTGTTCCTGGTCCAGCTGCTGAAGCTGAGCTCTTGGCCCAGTCCCTGGTTTTGGTAGTCCCAGCTAACATGCAGAAGGCGAGGCTGTTCCCTGAATGCTGGGGAAAGGAGAGGAGGCTTGGAGAGCAGAGTCAACACACTTCCTGCAGGCCCCAGGAGCCTTTCCAGTGTCCAAGCTAAGGAGAAAGTTTGCTACAGCCTCTGCAGTTGTTGGTTCTGCAAGGAGAGGAGCAACAGTGGCATCTTCAGGACAGTCAAGGGAACTTGACCAGGGAAACAGCAGAAAGGCAGAGAAAGCAAGCCCTAATTTCAGAACACACTGGGCAGTAGAGACCGTCAGCCGGCACTTGGCCTTTGCTTTACCTGAAACTGCAGGTACTATGTACAAATGCAAGCCACCCCACAGGAGGCCCCACCCTAACTGACATGTGGGCACTGTCGCCCTTGCTCTTAGAAAGGCTCAGCCAAACTCTCACAGAGCTGGAAGCTTCAGGAGCCACAGTCAGTTTGTGTTCTGTGGCAACCCACAGGCCCTGGTTTATGATTTTCAAGGAAATGAAATTTATCATCAAGACACTGGCCAACTCACAAAACTTCTTGGAAAGCTGGGGAACAGGACTGAGGACAGGCAGGAACAGAAGGAAGATGGACATTCTGAACCCAAATGAAGCATGCCCCAGGTTGAATCTGGAGGAACATCCTGTGATGCCCACAGCTGCCACCAGCACTGGTACATGGGAGCTGCACCTGGTCCCACTACCCTGCTGCGCCTGGGGAGTGGCTGTTGTAGATTGTACCTGTGCTACCACACCAGAATGGAATCTCCACTATCACTAGTCCACTGAAGCCCCAGCTGGTTGTGTCTAGAGGGCTGGTAGCAGATCAGAGGCCTGCACAGATCTGTAAGGAGTCTCGAGTAAACATCCTGCCAGACAGAGATGAATTCCCCAAACACAGAACAGATTCTGCAAATGCTCAGCAGTGGAACAGCAGTCACTGCCCCTTTGCAGAATGGGGTTTCAGAGACGGCAAATTGCAGCCCAACCACCAGGGGGCTTCTGGGTTTTGGGGAAAACCTGACAAAATAAAAAAGGGCCAGGGACTTAAAAATCTGAATTCAAAAAAAGGCCTAGGTCACTTACTTATTCCCTGGGTTTTTGTCATGCATAGGATGGGAATATTAGTCCTACCCATCCTGCAGACAGAGCTAATGCATATATCAAATTAGATGCTCTTGTGGACCGGCTTCGGAAACTACACTGAGTAAATCCAGTTGCCGCTCAAGGTCTCAGGTTAACCATCTGTAAACTAAGAAGGGTGCCCCTATACAGCTCACCTACTGTGAGGTAAACTGGAGCATCATAAGCTAATGGTTTGTTTACAGATTGAAATTCGCTGATGTCTGGGATTTGCTTCAAAATAATGGAGGTGGTGGGCAGGAGGGGAAACCAGGATGCCTGTAGATAAGGCTGATCCTGAGATGGATTGTAAGTGTGGAACCTAGCTGGTGGGCACATTAAACCATCTTCTCTACCTTACTGGAGGTATGAAATCCTACATTAAAAAACTCTTAAAATTAAGGGTCTTCAACCGACTTAGGAAAAACAACCCAGAATCTCCAAGTTTTATTAGGACTGGATCAGCTATTGGAGTCTTCCCACCCATCAGGGGTTATGGTGGTTCCCGTTGCCCTTTCTTGACTGGAAGGCTGTATCAAGGGAAACATCTTTTGTGGCTAAACAATGATTTGAGACAAAAATGGAAAAGCCCAAAAAACTAACCAGAAAACAAAAGAAGCAAAAACCCTTTGCGGGACAGCCTTTGCAAATAACCCATTCCAATGAACAAAAACGGACTCAAACTCCGCTTTTTCTAAAATTGCACTCAGCTAAGACCCTAGAAAGTAGCAAACAGGCGGGGTGCCGGTGGCTCACCCCTGTAATCCTAGCCACTAAGGAAGCAGAAATCAGAAGGATCATGGTTCAAATCCAGCCTGGGCAAACAGTTCAGGAGACGCTATCTCGAAAAAACCCAACATAAAAAAGGGCTGGCGGAGTGGCTCAAGTAGTAGAGCACCTGCCTAGTAAATGTGAGGCCCTGAGTTTCAAACCCCAGTACCCCAAAAAGTAATTTAAAAATAAAAATAAAAACAGCAATGCAAGGTCAGCACCGCCTACCACCACTCGCCCGGGCCTTCCGTCGCGTCCCTAAATCCCGAAACAAACATGGCTGCCGGCGGAGCGGAAGCGCTTCCGCCCCCATCCAAGATGGCGGCTCAGGGGGCGGGGCTGGCGGGCGGAAGTGGCCGGCGGGCTGCTGCTTCGTACACCATGGCAGCCGCGACGTCTTCCCCCCTCGCTGAAGCGGCTGGATGTGCGCGACCCTGCGGCGCTTTTCCAGACTCATGGGGCGGAAGAGATCCGCGGGTTGGAGCGGCAGGTTCGGGCCGAGATCGAGCACAAGAAGGAGGAGCTGCGGCAGATGGTGGGCGAGCGGTACCGCGACCTGATCGAGGCGGCCGATACCATCGGCCAGATGCGCCGCTGCGCCGAGGGGCTGGTGGACGCCGTGAGGGCCACGGACCAGTACTGCGCCCGGCTCCGCCAGGTCGGCTTGGCCGCGGCCCCGGCCCCGGCCCCGCAGGTCAGTCCCGCCCCCGCCCCCGCCCCCGGCCCCCAGGTCAGTCCCGCCCCTCCCCCGGCCCCGCCCACGTCCCGGTCCCCGCACTCTGCGCTGGAGCCTTCCCCGACCTCGGGCCCTGATCCCGCGTCTCACCTGGGCTCCCTGACCCCCCTTCCCGCTTCGGCTGCAGACGCCAGGGTTCTGTGGCTGGTCAGCTCCTTCCTGTGCCCTGTCCCCCGGGTCCCAGGGACAGCCCGCTCCCTTCCCCCCACGTCATCCATTCCCCCTCCCAGGCCTCCCTCCCCATCCCTTCCTTCCACGGTGGCAGACAGCTGCCCCAGCCTTGCGAGTTGGGGGAGCGCAGGTTGTCAGGCCCTCCTCTCCTTTTTAATAATGAACATTTTCATTTTAGGCAACTTAGGCTCTTGTTCCTGTCTTCTTCCCCCCAAACACTTAATGATTAGACCCCATGTGGACACTTCCCAATATTGGAGCTACATCTTGAGTCCCTAAAGAATGTTGATCTAAACCAGGCGCAATGGCTCACGTCTGTAATCCTGGCTTCTGAGGAGGTAGAGATCAGGAGGATCACGGTTCGAAGCCAGCCCAGGCAAATAGTTCTCACGAGCCTATCTCGGGGGAAAACAAACAAACAAACAAAAACCTTTCACAAAAAATGGTGGAGTGGCTCAAGTGTAGGCCCTGTTTAAAAAAAAAAAAAAGTTGAAGGTTGGACAAAGTGAAAGGGCAAATTGTGCTTCACCCTTGGAGCACTTACTGTGATATGGAAGAAAACTTGCAAAAATACAGTCTACTACCATTGGGAATTTTCTCATGCTGCCTGGGTTTCAGAAAGATGCAGGCCAATAGATGGGGATAGAATTACGCATAAGAGGTTGGAAATCCTTGGGAAATTGTGACCTCACTCCTCCCTAAGGCAGTGCATTAAGTACCTGCCCCCCCCCAGCAGGTGGCCGTACTTAATCATTCTTCTAAGCTTATGGCTAACTTAGACAGGCATGGTAATTCACACTTGTAATCCCAGCACTCAGGAGGCTGAGGCAGGAGGATCTTGAGTTCCAGGATAGCCTGAGCTACACAGTGAGACCCTGTCTCAAAAAAAAAAAAAAAAAGTAAAATAAATGAATAAAAGGTTGACTCGTATTATGCTGGATTTTAGAAATGTATTGATTTTTGTAATTGTTATAGCTAATGTATTCTCAAACTCACAAAACTTAGTGTTTTCTACTTAAAGTCACAAACAGAGGTCTCCCAGTCCTTGCTCTAAAATAAACCCATGGAAAGTTGATGAGAAAAGTAGAAATTTAGAATAGCGGTAGAAAATTTTTTTTGACATTTTTTTTTTTCTTTTATTCATATGTGCATACAATGTTCGCGTCATTTCTCCCCCCTTCTCCCCGTAGAAAATGTTTTAGGATAGGGTAATTCCCAAAATAATTGTGTCCACTTACTGTACGAGTTCTGAAGAAAGTCACTTTAGGGTTGAGTCCTTTTCAGAAAGGAATGATCTTAAGGACAGATGAGATTGTTGTCTTTATCCAACTATGCTGCTGTAAAAATAATTCATAAAGAACAGAAATTCATTTTCTCACAGTTCTGGGTCTGAGAAGTTCAATTTCAAAGCAGCAGCATTTGATGTCTGATTAGGGACTTCCTGCTGTGTCCCCATCTGGCTGAAGAATGTGAAAGGGCCTAATCCCTTCCTGAGGGGATGCTTGAGGGCAGACTGAGTGAGGGGAGGCCTGAGGACTGAACCTGGTGAAGATTTGGTACCAGAGTGGCAAAGAATAGCACAGAAGCCCATGATACCCTCAAAAAAAAAAAAAAAAAAAAAAAAAAACAGGAGTAAAAGTAGGAAGGCTGAACATCAGAAAAAGGAGGAGGAGGCTCACACAAGAGGTAGCACAGGGCCCCCTGCCATCCAGACATCAGGAGGGTCACTGGTGATCAGATGGTGAGGTAGGGGTTTGCATCAAATCTCCATGCCTTGCCGAGTTGCGCTGAGTATGACTTAATGAAAGCTTTGAGTCCTAATAACCCTGATCTCACCCCAAGTCTGCAGAACTCTGGCCGTGCTTTTGTTTACTCTTCTGACTTCCTTCTGCCCTTCACTGCAGCCACAGCTGCCATCCCAGGAGAAGTTCTACTGCATGGCTGCCCAGATCAAGCTACTTTTAGAGATTCCTGAGAAGATCTGGAGCTCCATGGAAGCCTCCCAGTACCTCCATGCCACGCAGCTCTACCTGCTTTGCTGCCCCTTCACTCCCTGCTCCAACTGGATTCTTCTAGTTCCCGACACAGCCCTATCCTCTCTCGGTTTCCTATACTCATCCGGCAAGTGCCGCTGCCAGCCACTTCCAGTAAGTGCATTCAATGCAAAGACTCTAGTGATACCCAGTCCTCACAACTACAATTTATGATCTGTCTTCCTTCCTGATTCACTAAGGCTCTTCGTCCAAGATGTTGAAGATTCCCTGTTAACCTGTCATCATCTTCCAGGTCAACCATTTTGCATGAAAGCAAGATGCTGCTCAAATGTCAAGCTGTGTCTGACCAAAGCTGTGGCCGAGGCTCTCTGCTCTATAATGCTTTAGAGGAGTTCTCCCCGCCAAGCTCTCACTGACTTCCTGTTGGCCAGAAAGGCAAACTATTCAGAAACTTCTCAACCAGCCGGACCATGGTGGTGTGTGGCTTCTTCCAAAATTTGGTCCCTAAGTATGGGAAGTATGGGATGGAGCAGGGTGAGCTGTGGAGATGAGGAAGCCAGAGTCTGTTTTTAACTTTGCTAAAGGAAATTATTTAAAAGAGAATGGTTTCTTATAGGTACTGGCATCAAGGCCCAGATCTGCTCATTAGTGGAGTTGCTGGCCACCACTCTGAACCAAGCTCATGCCCTTTTTTACACTTTACCGGAAGGTCTGCTGCCAGATCCATCCCTGCCCTGTGGCTTGCTCTTCTCTACTCTGGAGACTGTCACAAGCCAGCATCCTACTGGTGAGCCCTTAACAAACCTTTTCTGTGGTTCATTCAACTGATAACTTACCCAGTGTCTGCCATGTGGCAGCTACTGTGCCAGGCTCTGGGGGATGGAGTAGTGAGCTGGACAGATAGGCACCCTTCCTTCCAGAAGGTCACAGACTAGTGGTAGAGGTAGATATTGAACTCACAAGTATGTAAATATCTGTTTGATGTCAATCTTTGTCATCACTACAAATGCAAAGTACCAGTTGCCTGGGGAACATTAAATGGAAGGATCTTAAGAAGATCTAATATAGCTTCAGTGGGGGAGGGGTGATAGTTAATCTGAAAACAAAGGTTGAAGAGTTAGGTGAGGAAGGCAAGGAAGAGAGTGCCAGGCAGAGAAGTGCAGTCTTGAGGCGACAGGACGTTAGTGTATTTGACCAGCTGAAGGAAGCAAGTAATGGTGAAGTCAGTGGAGTACAGGAGGCAGCATGGAGGGAAACTGTAGGTATGGTCGGGGGCAGATAATGTAGAGCCTTGTGGGCTAGGCTTGGAAGCTTGGACTTTACAAAGAACAGTGGATGGCCTTCCGATAGGTAAGACACCTAAAAAACTAGCTAGCATTTGTTGCCCTTATATGCAGAAAACTAAAGCAGATACCTTTAAAAGCAACTGAGGCCAATAGGAAAAGGGAACAGGTACTAGAGAAAAAGGTTAGATCAAAAAGAATTAACCTAGAAGGTAACACCCACGCAGCAGGAAATCAATGTGAGTCAATGGCCCTGTATAGCTATCCTTATTCTCAACCAGCAAAAACCCCTTGTTCCTTTCCTATTAATGCTTATACGGTCTCTACAACAAAATTAGAGATAAGGGAAATAGTTTCTGCTGGGTATGTAGGGGGGGAGACGGGAGGGGGTGGATGGGTGGTAAGGGAAGGGGTGGGGCAGGGGAGAAATGAAACCAAGCCTTGGTATGCACATATGAATAATTAAAGAAAAAAAAAAGAAAAAAAAAAAAAATAAAAAAAATAAATCAGAATTGAAAACAAAAAGAGCATTGTTCCTTGGAATTCTTAGGTCTCCCAGGTCAGATAGATAACATCAGCAAAGGGTCCTAGGAGCTAGAACAAAGCCAGAGAAAAAGTTGTACAGTGTGGTTATGGCCAAGAAGAGGCAAGTATCAGTCTCATCTTTGATAGGTTTCCCTTTCTCCTAGGGTACCCTTTCTTATGCTTTGCCTTCCCTCTGCAAGTTTTGTGTGACTAGATTAGCCCTTTTTCAAAAGTGAGTGTTGGCTAATCGGTTCTGGCATTTGGAAAACAAGAACAAGGGACCTCAGAAAGACCCTGTGCCTCAAACTCTGAGGGGCCTTGCACAGTATAGTAAATGGCAGAACCACCAGCAATTAGCTAAGCAGGACAGGTGGTCAGTTCTTCCCTTAGATTCTTAAGGGGTAAAGGAGTGTGGTGTGGAAAGGGAAATGATTAACTTGTGTTTTTTGATGACTTTAAGTTCCACTGTTAATGTTAAGGGCTGCACACCTGTATTTGCAGTCATTCAGGGAGCAGAGGCAAGAGGATCACTGGGGACCAGGGTTGAAGGCCAACTTGGGCATATAGGCAAACCCTGTCTCTAGAAAAATTAAAAAACAAGTCAGGGACTGTAGAGCAATCATTTCTTCCTTCTACTCCTTTTACCCCCATTCTTTTCCTTCTGGCCTTTACCATTCTTTTCAGCCAGTAAGATGGCCAGGGTTGTAGGGAAGCTGCCATACTCCCTGATGACGGAGGACTTGGACACATTCTATAGTCCTCCTCGGAGGGTCCAGTTTGACCTGTACAGAGAAAACTTAGACCTTTGGAAATTCCTTCTGTGCCCATTTAATATGCTATTTAAAGTATGTCCTAGATTTATTCCTATGTGCTCCTTTCTCTAGGAAAGGGCATCAGTATCCTGCAAGGGGAGATGAAGCTCTGCGGCTGGTTCAGACACCTTCCTGCATCCATCACTGAGTTCCAGCCAGCGCTCCGAACCCTCGCACATCCCATCAGCCAGGAATACCTGAGAGACACACTACAGAAATGGATCCACATGTGAGTAGCCAGAAAGAGCAAACCTAAGGCTGGCTTGAACTCCATGCAGCCTTGGATGGGGCTATACAAGGATTGAACAGAGAATCCCAGTCACCTGGGCGACATGGCACATGTCAGCCACCCACTCAGGGCCCACTACCACCTTTGTGGCCATTTAGCACCTACTGCAAGAGATACAAGGAAGAATTTTTTTTTTCAAAATACTACATAGAGGTTTTCTCTTTACATAAGATGTCTACAACCCTAAGTGTTTATTTAATATGTTGATTTTTGAAGACACTCTGGAGCTCCAGACTTACATCCTCAGGAAGGCAAGAGTTGGCCTGTGGCTGCAGACTCCATGCTCAAATGCAGCCAGAAAAATGCAGTGTTGATAGGTATCTATAAATGTTCTGAATACATATGTGTATGAACCCAGGTACAGGTTTTCAAATTGAGTCCTGCTGTATTTCTCACTAATGTGTGAAACAATAAATCCAGTGATGCCCAAAGGAAAATGGTCTTGTTACAGGTGTAATGAGGACATTAAAAATGGAATCACTAATCTGCTTATGTACGTGAAGAGCATGAAAGGTCTTGCAGGGATCCGAGATTCCATGTGGGAGTTGCTTACCAATGAGTCTGCCAGTCACAGCTGGGAGGTGGTGTGTCGGCGGCTTCTGGAGAAGCCACTGTTGTTCTGGGAGGACATGATGCAGCCACTGTTCCTGGACAGGTTACAGGTGAGGTGGAAAGGCATATGGGCCACCATTTCACAGCCAACTCTAGTGTGGTCTTTTGACTGTCTTGGAAGTCTCCTATCACTTGCTGAGTGTATTTTCCTGTTTACTAATAATTTCAGATTCTAGAGCTGAAAAGAAGACAACAGTCCCTGTTAGGTGGTATACATCTTTGTTCTCTACCACGTTAACTTTCTGAACATGGTGGGGAACATTCATTCTGAATGTGGGACAAATTGTCATTTGGCACTCGTTTTGAAATTTCCTTTAGGGATTATGACTTGAACTCTCCTTTCATTTTCTTTTAGACTCTGACAAAAGAAGGCTTTGAATCCATCTCCAGTAGCTCCAAAGAGCTTCTGGTCTCAGCTTTACAGGAACTTGAGAACAGCACCAGCAACTCATCAAATAAGCACATCCACTTCGAGCAGAATCTGTCTCTCTTCCTCTGGTCTGAGAGTCCCAGTGATCTGCCTTCTGATGCTGCCTGGGTCAGTGTGGCAAACCGGGGTCACTTTGCCAATAGTGGCCTCTCCATGAAAGCCCAAGCAATTAGCCCTTGTGTACAGAACTTCTGTTCCGCCCTGGATTCCAAACTGAAGGTTAAGTTGGATGACCTCCTGGCTTACCTTCCCTCTGATGATGCTCCACTACCCAAGGATGCCGCCCCTGTGCAGCAGACCAAGAACTCGGCCTTTGACAGATTTGCTGATGCTGGGACTGTGCAGGATATGCTGCGGACTCACTCTGTGGCCTGCATCAAGCACATCATAGACTGCATCCAGGCCGAGTTGCAGAGCATCAAAGAAGTTGGGCAAGGCCAGCAGGATGTCCTCCGGGGCACCAAGCTGCATGCAGTGCTTTTCATGGCCAGGCTTTGCCAGTCCCTGGGAGAACTGTGCCCTCATCTGAAGCAGTGTATTGTGGGAAAGCCTGGAAGCTCTGAGAAACCAGCAAGGGAGGCTAGGGCCCCAAAAAAACAGGGAAAAGGGACAGCTCAGGAAATCCTTCCTGGGCAGGCCAAGTGGCAGGAAGTGAAGGAAGTCCTCCTCCAGCAGAGTGTGGTGGGCTACCAGGTCTGGAGCTCAGCGGTTGTGAAAGTGAGTGACTCAACTTCATAGGATCCCTCGTTTGCCTCACATGTATTACTCTTCAGTAAGATCCTTCTATAGTAAGAAAATAACAATGCTTGTTTCATAGTTAACTTTCACCTTATCTCTGCCAGATAGCTCAAGTATAAAACCTTTTCCAGGGCTAGAAATGTGGCTCAAATAGTAGAGTGCCTACCTCGAAAGTGTGAAGCTCTGAGTTCAAACCCCAGTGCTGCAAAAACAACAACAAAAATTTAACATTTGTTTTTAGCCTAGATACTGGAGACTTTTTTTTCTCTTTGGTACTTTTGTGGTTCTGAGATTGGGTGCTCTATCACTGAGCTATGACCCCAGCCCATGTTTTTAGCCTAGATTTTATAGATAGAAGACCTGCATTTTTTTCCTTCCCATCAGACAGGAATGAGTCTTTCTGCCTAGACAAGGGTCCCTATTTCCTGCTCTTCCTTGTAAATACCACAATCCCTGTGGTCTCCACTGATCTCTTAGGAGGTGACATTAGTAGAGTAGCCAACAGCCACATTTCCATTGCTCGTAATGGTAATTGGTCAAAAGGAGAGTGGCACTGACCACTCACCTCCCATAATCCACCTGAGCAGCTTCAGCCAGGTCTTGCTAGAAGCCGTAAAAATCTTGAGTCCCTGAAGGACTTATGTGGCTATTTGTTTTTTATCTCCAGGTTCTGATTCATGGATTCACCCAGTCACTGCTTTTAGATGATGCTGGCTCTGTCCTGGCGATGGCTACCAGTTGGGATGAACTAGAAATTCAGGAGGAGACAGAGTCTGGCAGCAGTGTCACATCTACTATCCGACTCCCTACACAGGTGGGCCTGTCCCACTGACATAGGGACCTTGGTTGAAGAAAGGAAAACTCCTCTGGGAGAAGAAAATAATTTTAGAAAATCATGCAGCATCTGAGTAGCAGCTAAAAGTAATGTTTATAGTTACTATGGTGTCAGAGTGGATATAAGATCAATACATCAGTTAATGATTCTTTCCTTTTATAGCATGGGTTGTATGTTAGCTAGAGAACCTCTTACCCTGAAGTGAAAACAGCAATGCAAAACACAGTGTCATCTGCCAGTCAACCTCAGACCATGGAAGAGAGGACTTACAGGCAATGAATCTATTGACTGGTCTCCCTAAGAGGGCGTGTGTGCCTTGTAAGGATAAATAGACCCACTTTTACTTCATGTCACTTAATTGGCGCAAGTTGGCAACTCAGTGTTCCTTTGTTTTAGCCATCGTGGTACGTCCAGTCCTTCCTGTTTAGCTTGTGCCAGGAAATTAATCGGGTTGGAGGCCAGGCCTTGCTAAAAGTGACACTGCAGGAGATGCTGAAAAGCTGCCTAGTTCAAGTAGTAGCTGCCTATGAGAAGCTGTCAGAAGAAAAACAGATCAAGGTAGGTGTCTGAATGCTTTCCCATTAGCAAAGAAAAACCTTAGCTTTTCCTTGGATCTGAGCAGTTCACAACAAAGGTCCACAGTGTATCACCCAGCCCAGCCTTCTGGTCCTATAAATGTGCTTTATCGTGTTAGGTGTGGCTTCTAGCTCCGCAAGTTTACAGCCAGTCTTCATGAGAAGGCAGTTAAGGACAAGTGAATTGGAAAAGCTTTCATAGTAAAAAAGGTCCAGCTTCCAATCCTGGCACTGCCACTGGCTCACTGTAGACTTTGAGCAAATCATTAACATCTTGGTTTCCTCAGGATCAAGTAAGAGATAAACTGTTCAAGTTTCCCTCACCCATAAAATGGAGCCCCCATGCCTGCTGCATGGTGTGAGGGAGGAAGGAAGGGAGGGGTAGTGGCACAGCAGAGCTTCAGCACAGGAGGGAAGGTCCTCATTAAGCGGGAGTCCTTATCTCCCAGCCTCCACTGCCCTCCTGCCTTCCATGGTACCTTTGCCCTTGGCTTACATTCCCATTTCATCAAGAAACATGTAAAGACTGGGCCAATCTGATTTGAGGAAGAATTCAGTCAAGTCTTCTGGGCTTCTGAGTTCATAGTACCTGTCCCCTCAGGCCAGAGCCTTGTTCCTTGAAATGACCATCTCAGCAATGAGGCCCTTAAAGGCTGGGTATCATCCTTGCTGTTAGGTTTTTAGTTTTAAGACCAAGTTTCTATTGTAACCTGCTTGTTGTTGTGCAATTAATCTGGCTCTGTGAATACAAACAGCACCTCTGAAACGCCAAGCTGTGGCCCAGCCAGGACCCACATCTGTTCATTGTGCCGTGTAAGTCACGTCTCAGTGTGCTGGAATTCATTTGCAGAAAGAAGGTGCATTTCCCATGACCCAGAATCGGGCCCTACAACTCCTCTATGACCTGCGCTACCTCAGCATTGTTCTGACAACGAAGGTGGAGGAGAAGACCAGCAGGAGCAAACCAGACTCCAGGTGTTTTATCTTCTCCTGGGCACCCCAATGCAAACACGGCCAGTCTCGCATTCAGGAAGGTTTTTCAGCTTCACAGTGATGTCAGAGTGATAAGCATTCAGTAGAAACCATACTTCCAACTTTGAATTTGGATCTTTTTCCACATTAGTGACCATCTCTCACAGTGGTGGACAGCATCAGTGAGCCTTGACCCCTGGGCAGCCCCATGACCATGAGGGAGGGAAACCACACTTTGCCGTGTCCTGTGTTGTGACTCAAATCTGTGTATCAATTTGAGACCTTCAGGTTAGAGTAGGTTTATTGGAATGTGACTCCATCATAAAGTGAAGGAACAAGCCAGGTATGGCGGTGCATGCTTACGATCCTAGCACTCCTGAGGATCGAAAGTTCAAGGCCAGTCTGGGCTGGGTTGTGAGACCCTGTCTCATAGATAAGTTGAGTATCTGTAGCCCCTTCTCTCTTTCCCAAGACAGTCAGCTTCTTCCTGGACATTCATTGGGTTGTCCTAAACAGTGAGTCTCACGTCACCAGCAAGTGAAATAATGGCAACCTGCTGGATAAATGCCACAGTCAAAGCGAAGCAGGCAGGACCTCATGACTCTGGTATAATTTGAGCTCTTAGTGCCTTTTCCATGGGGAAGAAATGAACTTGACTTAGAGCTCATGTCAGGAACATCCTGACAAGTACAGCCAACAATTCAGTTTAAATAAAATCCACTGCCAGGATTTCACTGCTAAAATTGTATTTCATCCTAAAAAATGTGGAAAATGACCCTGATCCTTTCCTTAGAATTGAGAAAGTGACTGACTACCTGGAAGCTCTCATTGATCCATTTGACCTGGATGTTTTCACACCCCACCTCAACAGCAACCTTAATCGCCTGGTGCAGCGAACTTCCGTAAGTCAGGTCAAAGCCATGTTCAGTGTGAATACAGTGCCACTAGCTCAAGTTACAAAGTGAGTCTCCCTAGGACTCAGCACTCCAGGATGCAGTGTTGAGGTGAGGAGAGAGCCAGACAGCTGAGTGCAATTACAAGCCCATGAAGAGGGTTAGGTTAAAATCTCATGCTGGGGAACCATGTTCTGACCCCTTTGGTTCTAAGTAGCCATTGCTAAAGTTTTACCCAAGCCTCAGAAAGAACATGGGTGAGATTCTGGCTGGGGCAGTGATAGAAAGTAATTGTGAAGTGTTAGAACAGAAGTACATTTCCCAAAACAATGGTTACAACTAAAGTAGTGATTCATTACCTCTGGGGAAGTGATTTTCTCGGTTCAGACAGTAAAACCCGTGTATCTTGCTGTGCTCCCTTTCTCACTTGTAAGGTTCTGTTTGGATTGGTTACGGGTACAGAGAATCAGTTCACCCCCCGGACCAACACATTCAACTCCCAGGAACCCCATAACACACTGCCACTAGCCTCCAGTCAGATCAGGTGAGTGATTCAGTGAGGTTCCTTTGGGCCCCCGGGCTGCCTGTTGATGCCACTAAACTGCTTCCCTCTCGTCTTGGAGGTTTGGACTCCTTCCACTGAGCATGACAAGCACGAAAAAGGCTAAGTCAACCAGCAGAGGTGTTGAAACACAAGCCCAGGTTAGTGTCAAAAGCAAGAGGTTCTTCCTCACGTTCTGTATTCATCTTCTACCCAGCCACCCAGTCAGCTCCCTTTGAAATAACTGATAAAAAAACTGAATAACAATGCACTAATGCTGCTTTTAATGGTGGCACAACAGAGAAGGTACAAGGTTTTACTAGCTTGAGCTAATAGAAATTTTAAAAGCTGCCCATTGACATTACCTAGTAGCCTTGTAATAAAAATGTATCCCAGGCTGCAAGGATATAGAAGATATGCAGGACAGAATGGAGGTGTTATATTTATTTAGTAGGGTAAAAGAATTAAAGAGTTAACTGCCAACTTGACATTATGATGGACTTACTTAGAGAAAATAATTTTGTTCTGGGGATGGTTTCATCTTCCATGTCTTTTAGGTGGGTGGGAAATAAAAGAAACTTTGTTTCCTCAAGTTTTACATTTTCTTGTTAATACACATTTTGTTTCAGTAGGATGCCATCCATTAAGCCTGCAAGAGTCCTCCTGGGTATTTCTGAATTGCGTTGTGTGTACGTGTGTTTGAGAGCTCAAACAGCTTGTCTTCTTACAGCATTTAGTTGTTGTTTGCTTTATTGTTAAGACAAAATATTAGCAATGTATCCTTTCCATATTCCCTGCCATAGAGCCCATTAAGATCCAGAGTCCTCATCAAATATCTGGTTTTAAAATCTGGGAGACAGTAGTTAAAAAAAAAATAAAAAATAAAAAAAACCAAACCAAAACAAAGACCAACCTCTTGCCAAAACCCCATGTTCCATAAACATAGCCTGTGCTGAAACTTTCCCCATTAACATGTGTCCACGTCACACAATTGGCCCTTAAATCCTATCCCTATTAGAGGAACAGACCATGGAAAGATGGGTATGAGTACTCTTCTCCTAGACAGTCCTCGTTCTCTGATTTTAGTTGTCACAAAATAAGAGCCTGTCCTGTTCCCTGTGTACTTTTCAAGTCCTGACAAACAGCAAAATCCTTTCTAGAGCCATCTGTGCTTCTCAGCTCTGCTGCGTGTGCTATGTGGCCTTCAAGTGGAGTGGAGTGGAGGGTGAGCAGGCAAGAGGCTGTGGGTGGTCTCTAAGGCACTTCCTCTACATCCAATGGCAGGTTGGCCCCCCAGCACTCTCCAGAGCAGGTGACCCGGCACATCCTGGCTCCTTGTTCAGACAGCTCATCAGCGAGGAAGATGACTCTAATGCGCCTTCATTATTCAAACTTGGCTGGCTCTCTAGTATGACTAAGTAACATGGAAAAACACCCATACTCTAAATAAATACTACTGCATTGTTTTTCCTAAAGGTGCCTCTGCTCATTTGTTTCTAAACCACACCAATTGTTCCTGTTTTGGTGATGGAATGTGCCCCCCCCAGTCACTGGTAGGGGTGACCTTAAGCATAAATCCTCATCCAGTAGTTTCACAGAATTCGTCACTTGTCAGTTCAGGTGTTAGTGCAGGCAGCTTCTGCTTTACCAGCATTCAGTCATCAGTGCCTCAGTTACCAACACTGAAAGGTGGAATTACCAGTGAGATCACAGAAGCTGCTGATGGAACAAGTTTGTGACTAAGACAAAGTCATTACATATTTTTTGACTTGGAACTGTGCAGTATTTTCTATTAAAGTCTGAAGCGCGGGCTGGAGGAATATTGATACAGAAGTTATCTGGGTATACAACAGACTGAAGGACATTCTCCATGGAAATACAAACATCTTACAAAGAGGAGACCAGGACTAAGGAGGCTGCTTCATTTCCACAGTCTAAATTGGATTATTCTCCTGTTGCAACAGGAGAGTACCTTCCATAAGAGGTAGTATGGCAGTTAATTTCAGTGCAAGACTGAATCAAGCTTTCTATATTTTGGGAGAAACTTAGCTTTCTTCATGGAAACTAGGTACTCTTTACTATTTATTGAATTAAAAAAAAATGGAAGGTCTCGCATTTTTAAAAGGCCCTTTTACATAAAGAATTTCTAATTGACAGATTTGAAAATGAACCTGAATGGACACACTACAGATGCAACACACAGGTGAAGTTTCCTCATACCACTACCTTGACATGGATTTGATACCCTCCCTTAAAAGAATCCTATAAAAAAATTGCTTCAAAGCCCCTTTGAAATTGCAATAGTGCAGCAAAACCACAAGTAAACAATTGCCTGTTAACTTGTTATTCCAAATATAGACTGAAAAGCCAACAGGCATTTTTGTGTGCAATTTTTTAAAACAAATTTTTAAGTTGAAATATCAAATCTGCACAGCACTGTCCCTTCACAGAAGGCAAGAAACTGCTGGCCTATCATGTCGGAGGCCGTCCCCGGTGCTGTAGACTGTGAAAATGGGCCTCCCTCAGGGTCTGGTTGATGTGGAAGTAAGGACCTTGGCACAGTGCAGACTGCTCAGACACCGGCTGAGGGGTGTTGGGGCTGGATCCCGGCATGAGTTGGCTTAGGCTGCTCTCTGGCCCACTGGCCCTGTCGGGGCTGTTGATGCTGCTGCTGCTGCTGCTCCCGCCACTGTCGCTGCTCGAAGACTGAAAGGAAAAGGAAGAGCCAGGGTCACCATCGGCCTGTTTTGCTGCCTCAGAGCTCGACTGTGGTTTAAAGTGCAACACTCTAGTAAGAGTCTTCTTCCTGTTCAGTAGACGAGCACCAGAAGAACACATAATGGACTTCCTGGCTTACCAGGCCTACTCTCCTAGAAATGGGTTCCTCACAGCTATCCTGGTGGATCCTGTGGCTTAGGATTACCCCACATTTAGGAGTGGTGGGTCCAGATTCAGGCACAGATCTCCCACTCCACATTGTTCTCCACATCTTAATCATTTTACATATCTCTGCTTGCTTTAAGATTTATCCTAGTCATCTCCAATAATGAGAGAAGGAAGTTCTGAGCCTCCAAGGGAAAGTGTCAGTCATTGGTATAGGGAACAAAAAAGTATTCCTATAACAATTAAGATGGACTCTGGGCATGAGATAAGAGAAAGACTAAAAATCTATGCCAATTTTGTGATAATCTCATCTTGAACACAAATGGTGTTCTATAACCACTAGGTACAAGGTAAACTCTCTAAAGTTATGTTCACATTTCTGCAGTTCAATATGCATGTGTGTACATAAGCATGCTGATTTTTTCTTTTTTTTCAACTAAATGACTTTAGCCATCTTGAAGAAGCTACTTGCAGGTCCATGATGAAAGCAAGTCGCTCTCAGAAGTTCCTGCTGGACATGGCGGTACATGCCTGCAATCCCAGGACTGTGAGTTTGAGGTCAGCCTAGACTAAATAGTGAAACCCTGACTCAGAAACAAACAAACAAACAAAAAACGAGACATTCCTGCCTTGTGATACTAGGATTCTCAAAACGGAAAGTAATGCTGCTAAGGATCTACTTCAGAATATGGTACTCTACAATTTTAACAATGAATTTCATTAGCACTTCTCTCAATTTACAACTCAAGACAATACTGTACTGAAAGGAATCAAGGCATAAGAAGTCAGGATTCTAATAATTAACGATTGGGTATATAATTTTTTAACGTGGCCCTTTAATGCATCCAAATTTATGTTCCCTTGGACCAGGACATCAATTTTGTGCTTTTTTTGGAGGGGAGGGGGACAGTTCTGGGGATTGAACTTAGGGCCTCATGCTTGCTAGACAGGTACTCTACCACTTGAGCCACTCTGTCACCCTAAGACATTGGTTTTGTAGTCACTTTACAACTAGTAAAGTCTACACATATAAGACTGGAAAGAAAGCAGACCACGGTAGCCATGTTAGAGTAGAAGGATTATAGTTGCTTATTTTTTTTCCATCATTTACTCTTAACTTTTTTACAATGTGGCTATCACATATTTTCATTATAAAAATAAACATATAAATAAAATGTTTCTGATGCTTTTAAAATCCTAGTTCCATCTATTTTTTGACCAAAAGTATATGTAACTATGAATATAGACAACTGATCTGAAACAGCCAAAAAAAAAAAAAAAGGCAGTGTTCACAAAGCACCGATCATTTATGCTTAGAAACCAAGTTTCATCATAGTCTACAGGTCATTTAGTGCTACTTAACACAGGCTTCACACCTCACGGGTGCAAGCAGAAGACTCTCTGTAATTAAAGTCATGAAAGGATTATAATGGGCTGAATGAAGTCAGACAGCAGGGTTAGCTGCAATTACATTTACTTAAAAAAGACTTATGTCAAAGCCAATTAAAAGACAGTGCTGGTGGCTCACATCTGTCATCCTAGCTACCTGGGAGGCAGAGATCAAGAGCATCTGGGTTCAAAGCCAGTCCGGCAAATACAACACAAGATTTATCTCAAAAAAACACAGCACAAAAAGGGATGCTGGGACTGTGCAGTAACTCAAGTGGTAGAATGGCTGGCCAGCAAGTGTGAGGCCCTGAGTTCAAACCCCAGTACTAACCTAGAATGGCCACATACAATTTGAAAAGGTCATGACTGTTTTTAACAAGTAGGTCACTACTTGTGGATCAGAAACGCACCACGCAGAATGCTTTGTTTCCTCTTAGTCTGTTTTCTTTACTGTTTTTCTTTACAGGTACTATCTGAAAATCAAGGCAAGAACTAGAATCAGTTTCTATTGAGTCAAATTTTCATCTCAAATCATATCTATTTCACACTGTAACAGCAAAGGTGACACGACTCAGAAAAGGTAAAAGTTCCATAAAATCAACAAGTTAGAAAAGGATGCTGTTCAGTAACTATTTTTTAAAAAAGTAAGTATACCTACAATTTCTAGTCCATTTAAAAATCTCGTAACTCAGCTTTATAATGACATGTATAAAAATGTTTAGTGTAGCCTTATTTATAATGAAGTGAAGCCCTAATCCCTACTTCATGGACATGAAAAGCCCAGGATGCCATAAAATCTCCAGGCTTTTGCCATGCAGGTGGCAGTTTTGCGTAATGGCTGCTCCACTGTACTCTGCCAGCCTACAGAGGAAAAGCCGGGCTTTCAGCCAAACTAAAACACCCTGAATCAAGACAAGTGGGAAGCTGCCCCAAATAACACATTTCAGATACTTAAAGAGACTTCTAAAGCTGCTTCAGTGGTAACCACTTGCACTGAGCAGAACAATATACTTTTAAAATAAAAGAGCACCTACATAGGATCCAGGCAAATAACACTTTGTTGCTTTAACACATATGAAATGTCACACATAGGCTACTGTCTTACAGACAAGAACAATCCATTTCTTTCAAAGACATTCTGGTTTTTCTCTGCCAATTCAAGCTAGGCTTCTCACTAGGAGGGAGGTTGTGGGAGGACGTCTAGAGATGTCCAGCACTTTTTGAATTGGGGGTGAAACTCATTAGCAGGTAGCAGCCAGCATTAAAATAAAGAAAAAAAAAGTACACTGGTAAGGACGATTGTTCTGTGAGGCTTTTAATTATTCACAAGTACATTTGTTATATACAGGGCCACAAAATAAAATTCCATGGCACAAGGTCAACAAGTCTGACGGTTATTGCAATCCATCATAAAATGTTGGTCATCAAAGCAGCCTGCTTTATGGATGAAGGAAAGAACATTTACTTTTCTGGGTTTTGGGTTTTGGCAGTATGAGGAAGCAGATGGCTTCACATTTGCTAGGCAGGCACTCTACCACTCCAGACATGCCTCCAACTTCTTTTTTGCTTTGGTTATTTTTGACATAGGGTCTCATGTTTATGCCTGGACCACGATTCTGCTATTTAAGCTTCCCACATGGATGCCATGATAGGCACACATCACCACGCCCAGATTTTCTTCTTCTAAGGGGAAGAGAAGTCTGTTTGTCCGGGGGGGGGGGGGGCCTTGGACAGTGATCCTCCTGATCTCTACCTCCCAAGCAACTAGGCATGAGCCTGTATTTACTTGTAACTTTAAAGGCACAAAACTGAGTTTTAAGTCTTTATCAGTGCCTTAAGATATATACAGAAGCAAAATTCTTTTTGTCTTCTAAAACCAAAAACTTGATACAGGAAAAATAAATTACCCCCACTTAGTAGTTTATATATATATATATATATAATTACATATATAGACACATATATGTAGAAATATATATACATATATATAGGGGCAGTGCTGGGGTTTGAACTCAGGGCTTCACACTTGTTAGGCAGATACTCTACCACTTGAACCAAGCCTCCGGCCATTTTTGGTCTGGTTATTCTGGAGACAGGGTCTTGCTTTTTGCCTAGGAAGGCCTGGACTGTGATCCTCCTATTTTATACTTCCTGCTGTTGATGGGATGGTAGGCGTGTACCACCACATCCAGCTTTTTTCCACTTACATGGAATCTTGCAAACTTTTTTGCCTGGCTGACCGACTCTGTGATCCTCCTGATCTTAGCCTCCCAAGAAGCTAGGATTACAGGCATGAGCCACTGGCATCTGGTACCTAGTGATGCTGCTTGGAATCAGACTGTGGAAGGAGAAGCCACTGTTTGGTGTTGCATGCTTCTGAAAGTTCATTCTCCTACCTTAGGACAGAATTATTTACACCCGATCTTGAAAAAGCAACATCATTTTACCTAAAGAGAAATGAAAATCCAGACTTTGGGACTGACAAGGACCCACCAATAGGAATTGTATCTTAGTGGTCCTAATTCCTTAGAGATTCATCAGACTTTATCTGGATCGACAGTTACAGAACTCGTTTTCTTTTCCCTGAGTTCTCTGTTTAGACTTAGCACTGACATCTGACTCTGTATGGTATTTTCATGGCAAATTTGTATGACCAGTCAGAGAATAAGGCCATGATCTATAAAATAAAAACCCCTTACAAATCATGGAACACAAGCAAAGTAAAGGTAAATCCATGAGGACTATGGCCAATAATCACTATCAACAATGTACAAAGGTACCTTTTTTTTTTTTCTTCAGTGCTGGGGCTTGAACTCAGGGCCTACACCTTGAGGCACTCCACCAGCCCCTTTTCTGTGATGGGTATTTTCAAGATAGGGTTTCAAGAACTATTTGCTGGGGCTGGCTTTGAGCCTTGATCCTCCTGATCTCTGCTTCCTTAGTAGCTAGGATTACAGGCGTGAGCACCAGTGCCTGGCTCAAAGACAACTTTTAACTGTAAATAATACACAGAATCCTGTTTTGAAGACCTATACAAAAAGGGAGGATCTATGTTAGGCAAGATGAAGTCATTGTAGCCTTAGAAATGCAGATTCCTGGGTGAGACCCAGAAGGAAACTATCCTGATAGTCTAGTTTGGGATCACCTGTGGTCTTTAAAAAGTACATACCACAGCCCCCCTTGGGACCATGCTTAGTATACAGCAGAGTACCAATTGTTCTCATGTCCAACTGCTACCCAAACAAATATGTGTGCCTACTACGCATAAGGAGGCATTTCACTAGAATACTTATTCAGTGAACATTTACTGAGCCTAAATAAGGGGAAGAGGGTGGCAATCCAGCCATCAGTGAAAGCAAGCATTGGGAAAGGCTTCATATAATGATTCTCTCCTGGGCCTAGAAGAATGAGGAGACTTTTAATAGGCAGGGGCGAACAAACTGGAAAAAGCAAACTCAAAAAGTGTCCTCAGGGAGAAAAAGCTAATAGTGTGGTGTGGTGTGGCTGGATCCACAGCAGGATTTGGTGAAAGGCAAAACACACAAGAGGGTATGTCCAGATTACAAGAGCTGCAAAGTCTGCACACAGAGGTTCTGAGCATATAAGCCATGCTCAGGTCTACACTTGGGAGTGAGGATTCCAAGGGTGTGTGTGGTGAATGCGTTTGCAGAAGAACAGAGCTCCACTGGGAGCTTTCCTCATACACTAAGCAGGACGCCGCAGATTGTGGAAATGTAAAGGTGTATGTGCCACACCCCAGAGGAGCATGGGAAATACTCCAGAAGGAGGTGCAGGAGATCTAGTTGCCTTGCACCCAGGACATGCATGGCTAATAGCAAGTGCTCAGTAAATGTCTGCTGAAAGACCACTGGTGAGTTGTCTGTGAAGTTTTAGTGGAGTCAGCAAGAGCAGAAGGCAGGGCAAAAGGGAGATGATGAGAAAGTCTGGGAACAAAGGGGACAATGTGGAAGCACACAGGAAGCTGAGAGAAAAATAAGGTGGAGTGCAGGTTAGCAGACCAGAGAGTAAGACAAACGTGAAGGTATGAAATGGGAAAAATACTAGAAAAAACTTTCAGGAGCCTGGAAAGAACACATGACTGAAAGGCAAAGGGACACTCACTCTAGTGTCCTTGCAGAGGGAAAGATGTGTAAACTGTCAAGCAGAAAACACAAGTCCAAAAAGCTCATTTTCTTAGTCCACAGGGCTCAAATTATTCAACAGAGACCAAGAACTCCTGGTTCCCACCTAGGCTTGCCTTTAATTTTATTTTTCCAAGGTACTAGTTTAGTTTAAGAGATAACCCATTTGGCACATGGCAGAAACTAACTGCACAGGCAGAAATTCTAATTGTTGAGTGCTCTGTTTTCTAAAAATAGAACAAGAATATACGGTATATTTATTATCTAGAATCATACTTTCTCTCCTAACTGGAAAAGCAAAATCAACACAGCATTTGTGTGTACATGTCTGGGTGTTGAGCTCAGGGTCTTGCACTTGCTAGGCAGGTGCTCTACCACTTGAACAACTTCAGCAGCTCTTTTTGCATTGGTTATTTTAAAAATAGGGTCTCGCTTTATGCCTAGGCTGGCCTGGATTGTGATCCTTTTATCTGTGCTTCCTGGCATAGCTGGGATGACAGGTGCATGCTACTGCACCCAGTCTTTGTTGGTTGAGATGGGGGCTGGACTTGAACCTTGATCCTCCTGATCTCTGCCTCCCAAGTAGCTAGGATTAGAGGTTTGAGCCACCACTCTGGCCAGCTTCATCACAGCATTTCATCTTCTTTCAAGTCCCAGCTTCCTTTTACCCCCATCTCCCCATTTACTGATGCTTTTAATTTACGTGAACCTCAAAAGTAAAGAATCTCAAATGGAGCCTACTGGCATTACACCTGTAATCTAAGCACTAAAGAGTCTGAAGCAGGAGGATCATGAGTTCAAGGCGAGTCTGTCTACATAGCAAGACTCTCAAAAAAAAAAAAAAAGAAAACTCACCCATATTAGAGTCACAATGAAGTTCATTTTCATTCTAAGGCTGCAGGATCTGGATTAAATTTTTTTTTCACTCTTTTATTTTCCCATGAGATAAATAGCTGCAGAGATCTCATTAGACACTGTGAGCTAGTATAATTACCATCGCCATTTTATGGATGTGAAAACTGAGGCCCACTGAGGCCAAGTGACACACCCAAGACTACTTAGAGTTTAATATTCTTCGCTTCTGAAACCTCTTCCCAAATCAGGATTATAACCCAGGTCTCCAACGCCTAGTCCAGGACTTCCTTCAAACATAGCGCATGCTCTTTCTGCTATGCTTACTGAAGGTGGGCCCTGTCTGAGAATTTGGGAAAGCCTGTTTAACTGGAGCCCTGGACCCTCTGGGTAGGGCTGATTGATATCCTTGGTGGGATGAAGTCGCTCTGACTCAGGACCAAAGGCCTCGCGGGCTGTCCCAAGACAGAGTCGCCTTCTGCCACCCCCGTCATGCCCGGAGCCCGTTTTGCCCTGCTCCTTTTGGACACAGTCCCTACCGGGGATGGGGCATCGACCCTCGCCCCAAAGGAGTCACAGCCTAAAGGTTAGTCCCGAGGGAGCCAGCAGGGCCCGAATAGGCCACAAGCTGGAAGCAGAAGAGGACGGGACTGGATTAAATTTTGTGAGAGATAACCTCAGACAAGTCTATTAGAGCATCTAAGTGTAAAGTAATGTCTAAGTCCCCCATAACTTCAGAGAGCTCCAGGTCTGCTAATGCTAGTGAGACCATCAGCCTCCAAATTAACTCCATGGGTTAATTAAATAAGGAAAGAAAATGCAGGGGATAAGTTTCTTGTCTCCATGAATAAAAAAAATCCTTATTTTCCCTTATAAGGTGAAGTTGGACCACATACTGTGTTTTAAATTCCTTCCCAGCTGAAATACTCTATTACCTATCACTTCATTTTCTTTAAATTTCCATGAGCCAAAAAATCCCCACCTATAGAAATCCCCACCTATAGAAAAAGATATGGCTCTGTGTCTCTGTACCAGAGGCCTTAGCATTCCATTTCAGAGTAAATGCTGGGGTGGCTTGGTACACTGTGAGCGATACCATGCGTCACTCACATTTTAAGGACTTACACAGTGAGGAGCAGTTTCTTGAAGTGTACACTGCCAATTAGACCAACAGGCCTGTTCCTCCAGTTTGTATGGATCTTTTAAGAAGTTAATTTTCAGAGTTAGTCTGTTAGAACATGTCAAACACATACCATTAACTGTTCGCCCAGACCAAAACAGTTCTGTCCCTAAGGATGCACCTACTACCTAAAACAGACTCAGCATCAAACTAGGCAAAAACTAAGGCCTTTAAAATACCATTTTTAATCATTACTCTAAATATTCCCATCATCACTTAAATTCACTTAATCACCCGATACTCATATATATATATGTCTGTCTGTCCATCATGCTTCTGCTCCCCCTAATAAAGAACACCATTGGGCTTTTAGTACTTCTTACATCAAAACATTTCTCCTAACAGAGACAAGGAAAAAGGTACTTACTAGTCAAACCACTTCTGTTTTATCTCCACATTTTTTTTACCCTATTTGATGTTACTTCACAGTATCTTAAAATCAAAATGGTCTTAGAAAGCTAAGTTAAAGAGAAAAAGGAGGGAGAGGGCCTTTGTAGTTTTAAAGGGTAATTTTATTTACTGAAGTAGAAGCACTTTTTATAAGGCATACAACTAAGTAACAGAAGTCAGATTTACAGAGGAACTTCTATTGTAATTTGTAGATAAAGACATTAAAACTGAAAGCAAAGCACATCACTCCTATTACATGTGAGATAATTCAAACTAAAAAAGCCAGCCTGTAAATTAAATCTAGCCAATCGTGTACCACCCCCCAACCCTAGTGCTAGGGATCAAACCCAGAGCCTTGCACATGCAAGGTGTAACTCTACTACTGAACTACATCCCAGCCCTTCATTTTTTGAGACAGGGTCTCACTTTGTAGCCCAGGCTAGTGGTAAACTCTCAATCCTCCTGAGTACAGGAATTATGAATGCACCACGATGCCCAGCTGAATCTAGCCAGTTTTTACTCATCGTTAACTGCCCAAATAACCTTTATACAGGAAGACAATCTGGTAAATCATTTTACTCCTTGCTCACTAAGGAGAAAACCAGGACTGGAGTTGTGGGTTAAGTATAGAGTGCCTGCTTTGTGAGCATGAAGCCCTGAGTTCAGTCTCACCCAAAAAGAAAAAAAAAGAGAGAAAAACCAAGCCTGATTTTAGGTGTTAACTAAAATGATTTGTTAGAATGACTTTACAAAAGAAATTTAATCTTATATTAATAAATTATACCTCAGTTTAAAAAATAGTATCCTAAGGCCTGTAAGTCATTAACTTGAGTCACTGGAGTTAAGATCCAAAGTCTTCAAGCACCAATTAATTTTGATGAAAAAAAAAAATCACTAGATACCAGTTTTTTCTTTGCTTTTTCTTGCTTTATTTGCTTTCCAAATAATACCACATCAAAACATTTACCTGGAAAAATATTTTCTAGCCAAAAGACAGGTGGAAGAAAATTACTCTTCTCAGTTCCTATGATTCCATAGAAGCCTAGGACCTGCTCCTGGATCTCTTTAGTCAAGTCTTTCTGAACATGTGTTCTGTCTTCTGTGAGGCAGTGGTACACAGCTAAGAGCAAACCAAGCTCTAGGGCCCAACTCCTCCTTTGCCTCCTACTGGCTTGGTAGCTTTGGGCAAGTGACTTTATTTTTCTGTGCCCCAATTTTTCCATCTGAGAAGTGGAAAATTTCCTTTTCCTACTAAAATGGGAAGTAAAAAATGCACATATAAAGCTTCTCTCTACATAATAAATCTGCAAGTCAGTTTCCACTGTTTAGCCCCCTATCTAGGAAAAAAGACGTGTATACTATTTCTGACTTACACAGTTCTTTGTATCATAGTTTAATAGTTGAATATAAATCAAACACTTTACATCTTATTTCCCAGTAATTGTTAGTATTATTATATAAAGAAAAAAGTAACTTATAAATTAATTCTAAGTAGCCATTTTAAATTTCTCTTATAACTTAAACGAATTCCTTACAAATGAAATCTCAGGTAACAAGAATTCTAAAATTATTTTAAGTATTTCAGGAAAGGAAGAGGAAACAGTTTCTCTGAGTTATTCTCAAAGAAACTTATCTTGTTGGCCCTTCATTAGAGTTAAAAGATAACACTTGTTAATATTAATATTTTATCATATAAATTATTAAACTTGTTTTTGTGCTACAAACCTACAACTATTCCAGTAGAGAAAATGGAAAATGAAAATTATTCAGAGTTCAACCTTCCATTTCAAAAGACAAACCCCTGCCTTTGGTCTCTCCAGCTCTCCTGTAGTCCACTTGTCTTCACTACTTGTTAATATACCAGTGGGGAAGGGAAGCACAGCAGATCACAGCGCAGATAACAGGCCATGCTGGTAAATGCTGGTAGGCAACACCGAAACTAATGGTTACAACACCCTATCAGTGATCTGCCACTGAGTGCAGATCAAAACTATTCTACTGACCTTAAGTGACAATGAAGACAGTCTAGTCTCTATTTCAGACTAATGATTACAGGGTATGCAACAGCTGAAGATCTTTGGACATGTAGGAACAAGATACATGACCCAAGAGTAAAATAACAAGACACTATTCTCTTCTGTGATATCAATGCATAAATTGTAGAAATTGAGTGAAGGTCATTTTCTACAAATAACAATTGAAACAAACAAAAATCTAGGACTAAGATGTATGCCTTAGTTGAAGTAAGAGAAAAGAACTGTTTAAAAACCAAAAATAACAACAGTTTCTATTCCTGTTCTGAGGCATGAGAACTAGCTATGGGCTTGGGATGTGGCTTAAGAGCACCTGTCTGGTACGTTCAAACTCCAGTACCACAAACAAAATACAAACTAGAAGGAAAAGACTAATCCAAAAAGACCTATTCCTTTGAATCAATATGAGGTAATACAGCAGGATTTTCATACATGCAGAAGAAACTCTGATGCTAAAACCATGAAAGTAATGTCTGCACACTCTTAATGAAGTCTTACAATTCAAAGAATTAACAGAGATTTGGTTTATCATAAGATGCTTATGGCAGCCTCTGATTTTTGGTTTTCTTTCATCCCAGACATTGCTCAATTATCACATTAAACAAAAGCTCAATTAGTTTTCTCCCATCCAAGTACTAACCAGGCCCAACCCTGCTTAGCTCCCGAGATCAGACAAGATTGGGTGTGTTCAGGGTGGAATGGCCGTAGACTCAATTACTTTTCTGTTAATTATTTTTTTTTAAATCAGGTAAGATTTTACAGGGTGAAACAAAGGCTATAAAAACCTAAGCCTCACACAGGATTCTAAAGTGAACTTGTTCATTAACTGCTCCTGCATGAATGTTCCCTACATGACAGTTACTGATTTTCCCCCTTGAGGGTGTCATTTTTGGGTTGCTGGTAAAGAAAGGTTGTATCTAAGTTAAATCCTATTATCAGGAATTAATTAAAGTGCAATTTACTTTGGTGTCTAAGAATCCTGCTGTAAAGTAAGCTACGGCTTATGAGTCTTTGTCACTGTGGCACTTCTCCATTGGTGTAACAATGGTTTAGGGTCAAAATGTTTAGGTGAGTAATAGCAGCATTACTTTAATGTTGGCTTCCTTTCCCCACCATTAGAATAGCCTTCCAAGTGCATGAAAAGATTTCTCCCCAGTGGCAGGAGCTCTTTCTAGAATGAGCACTTCAAAATGGGATCTTGCATTACGCATACCTTATATATTCTGCATTCTTAAAGCTTCTATTGAACTCAAGCCTAAAATATGTTTATCTTAAGGACAATTACTTATAAGCAATCAAAAAGTTGGTTGCCGAAATATAAAATAGAGGCTCAAAGATGGGCTTTCAAAGGTCTAAGAAACATCTGTGAATACAAGTGTGTGTGTGTGTGTGTGTGTGTGTGTGTGTGTGTGTGTGTGTGTGTGTGTGTGTCTTTGAGAGAAAATGAGAACATATGCTTTGCTGGGAAGAGGCTGCATGAACTTCCTTAAAGGAGCCATGACTCAAAAAATAAGTAAAAAGGGCTGAAACTATTGCAATCAACTAAGATCACGTTTATTCTCTAAATAAATTCCTTTTAATCATACAGCAGAAACTGGGTTACTGAGTTCAAGCAAAGAAAACAACTGAGAGTTAATGACCACACTTCCTACCTCTGTATCCCAGGAATCCTGAAGGACAGGGTTTCTACTGCTCCTTTTGGTCTGCGGGGGAAGATGGTTGTCTTCTTCACTGCCATTCCTTCTTCTTTTCCTGAAATTAAAACACGAGGGGAAAAAAAAAAAATCCAACAATTGGTCTTTTAGAGACTAAAATGTAAACCATGACAAATAAATTTGCCCTCTTGCCTGGAAAAGTTCACCACATGACATGCCAATAGGGTAAAAGCTGGAAGCACACATCACTGGCACTAAACAGAAAGACGGGTGGCAAGGTCAAGCTTAAATTAGTAAAACTAATCTCTGAAAAGAAGCTTAACAACTATACATGTCCGCTGGGAATAAAGTAAGAAGAGGACTAAGCTTTCACACTCAATTTCGGTTTTCTTCCTTCCACACACTCTGAAATTACAAGTTCAAATTACCTAACCTTACTCCCATATGAAAACATTGGCCTGTTTTCTGCAAATCCACATAAAAATGATTCTACGAGAACATCACAGGTTGGTGGCAGATTCTATAGTTTTCTTCATCCCTGTATCGTTGTCTGTCCCCTCCCCCCCTCCACTATTATCATGCCCCTCTAGAGGATTCAACTACTTTTCTGGGCCATCACTGGAAAAGCAACACTTGGTCACATTAACTGACCTTCCTGGTAAGATTATTAGCTTTGTAAGTTACTTCACTTCACTATATTCTTAGAAACAGTAGCACAAACTGCCTAAAATGTCCAGGTTTTAAGAAACATCACTTAGTTCAAATACCAGTACCAAAAAAAAAAAAAAAAATCACACATCTTTCTCAGATGGGTGAAAGGCAAAGTTTGTTTGTACTCGCCAAGAATTAAGTGGAGTCAGAAGGATTACTAAACCCTTTAGAAAACAGAAATAAAAGCTGAGTGCTGGTGGCTCATGCCTGTAATCCTAGCTTTTTGGGAAGCCGAGATCCAAAAGTTTGCAGTTCAAGGCCAGCTAGGGAAAAACTTCAGGAGACCCCATCTGAACAGAAAAAAACTGGGCATGGTGGTGTGTCCCTGCCATCCCAGCTAAGGCATGAAGCATAAAATAGAAGGATTGCAGCCCAGGCTGGCGTGGGCAAAAGGCAAGACCCTATCTCCAAAACAACCAGAGTAAAAAGAGCTGGAGGCGTGGCTCAAGTGGTAGAGTAAGCCTGCCTACCAAGCACAAAGCCCTGAGTTCAAACTCAATACAAAAAACAGAAAATAGAAGTTAAAGGAGGTATAATTTTAAACCATATGTCTAGAACTATACTGTCCAATATGGTAATCACTAACCATGTGGTTAAATTTAAATAAAGAAAGATATAATGGGTGTGTGGATGATCTGGCTGCAATATCTATCACCCCACTGATCAGCAGGGTTGATTCAGCTGATGTGGCTGTCCAGGCAGGTGACCTCTCCTCTCTCACTGCTCCATGTGGGTCCCTCCTGAAGCTGCACACTCAGTCAAAGAGGTCAATCATCCCCAATAGAGGACCTTTCTTCGGTGAAGGGTATACGAGTAGCTGTGCTTCCCTGCTAGAACCTCCAAATGAGATCTCAAGAAGAAGAAGAGAAAGATCTCAAGAAAGATGTAAAATCCAGTTCTGAGGTCAACCTCTAGTACGATTTGGTCATACGTAACTAGTGAATGCTGCAAACACAGATGGAAGAAAATTATTTTGGGCAGCTCTGACTAGAGGTCACTATGCACAAGGACAGCATCTATTATAATGAAATACTTAAAGGTTCCAGTTTTTATAGTTAAGAGACAAAAGGCAAGTGAGAAAGACAAACAGCTTTTTGGAAATTACTTAAACCTGGAAGCTGTACATAGAATACAGTATACAGTTATAAGCTTTCTATGTAGGTAGAGTTGGCTTATTGTGACAGGAGCCCTTAATCCTAAGGTTCTGTGTTTTGTGTAGAAGTTCTGTTATCACTCAGCTCACTTCCCTGTACTCTGCAACATTCTGAACATATCTAACTTTATTAATGAGTATGACCTCAGTTTCGGTCTGAAATGAGGAGGTTAGTGTGTGATTCTGATAAAGCTTTAACCAACTTGCAGTGGGCTACACCATTTACCTCACTCTAAGATTCAGTTATTTGTAAAATACGATCATTTTGGCCCCCTACCTTTCTCCCCGATTAGATGGTACTAACAATATTTCCAAAGTACTTGAAGGTTAAAAACCAGATGAATACCAGGTTTCAATAATCATTAAGTGGATATATTATTAATGTGAACCAAGAAACTTCTATTTCACCCTAACACCAGCAGAGAATGTATGTGGCAATGTGCTGTGGTAGCAAAGCAAAGTCTCCTGGGAGTCAGTTGACACCCAATGGCAGGAGGCTGTCCCTCAACTCTTATCAGTATGCCAACAGCTAGCTGATCATGCTTTGGGTTGCTGAGTCACTCTAACCAAACTTAAAAGCCTAACCAAAATTTGCCATTACCTCATTTGTAATAGGAGATATGCTTTTTCAGTGACAAGAATGTCAAGGGGGTTGCATGGCAGAAAAAGTCTAAGCAAATGACCTGGTTTTGTGGATTTCAACTGAACTCTGGGAAAGTCGCCTAAAATACCCGTTTTATGTTCAGCTGATTTCTTAAGGAACCAGCATTATCTCTTTGGCCTATGATAGTCCTCTCCTTTGGGAGGTAGTAGATTAAGAATGAGCCTTACCTAGTCCCATTCTCCTTTTTCTTAGCTTTTAGCAAGATTCCATCCCAGAAACACTTTGCTTTCACAATCTTATTAATAACTGACAAGATTACTGCTTCATGCTCACCTCTAGCCATACAATCAGTGAGATTATAGCTCTTTGACACTAATGCCACAGAGCAGGCTATAATTTTGGCAGGTACCTTGTAATTGATAACATATGCCCCTTGCTACCTAGGTACAATGACTGTTTGACATCTGTTGCTCTGAAAGATGGCTGACTCCATCTTTCAGAATGAATGAACATTATTTCATTTCTCTCTAACCTTCTAGTCATCTTCTAGAGCTTGAACAGAGAATTCATCTTTGGTTTTTTTTTTTTTTTGTGGTACTGGGGCTTGAACTCAGGGCTTATCCCTCGAGCCATTCTGCCAGCCCTCCCCCCACCCCTTTCTTTTTTTGTGAGAGAGTCTCTTGGAACTATGTGCCTGGGTTGTCTTCGAAATGCCATCTTCCTGAGTAGCTAAGAGTACAGAAACTGGTTTTCAAAACCGTTTTTTAAAAAAGCAAAAAGCCAGTCATGCATATAATTCTAGCTACTCAGGGGGCAGAGATCAGGAGGCTCACAGTTTGAAGCCAGCCTGGAGCAAATAGTCAGGTGACCCTATCTCAAAAAAACCCATCACAAAAAAAGGGCTGGCAAAATGGCTCAAGTGGTCAGAGCGCCTGCCTAGCAAGCATGAGGCCCTGAATTCAAACCCCAGTATCACCCCCCCAAAAAAAAAAAAGGTTAAATTAAATGACTTCTTTTAGAGTAAAGAAATTAGCAGTATAAACATGTGTATGTGTAATACATACACAAACAAACATCATAAACATTATTTGTGTATATATTAAGTTAAAAAGAATCTGCTATAAGTAAATATAAGTACAACATATTCAAATTATTTGTGTACAGTACTGGATAAAAGAAACCTTTTTTTGTTATGAAATACTTACACACATTTTTCAGATCCGTGAGACACCTCAGGAGAATAACAGAAGAATAAACTGGGCTTGAGAACCAAAAAAGTGGCAGATCAGGCTTACTGTATCTAAAGATTGTTTCCTAATTCTGATAGCAGGTCTGTGATTGGGCCCTAATTCAACAACCATGTTAATAATTGGCAAGATACTGGTTCATGTTCCTCCTTCTCTGCACAACAGATCAGATTATACCCTTTGGCATTAATGCCACAGTCAGATTATAATTTTGTCAAGAACCATATAATTTCAAAGTTACTCTACTTTTCTACGCAGGTAGAGGCTTTATGCCCCACTCTCTACATGACACAAATCAATAGTCCAAGGCACTTTGTGGACTCTCTAAATTTTCACTATTGACCAAATAACCTCAGGATACTTTGGAGAGCCTCAATCCCATGAAATAACTATATTTCAGAGAAAGTCCTTACAGAAAAACTGTTACACTCACATCCAATGAAAACAAGGAACTAGAAAAGATCCGGCTTAACCTATCAAGGCAGTCCTATGAACCACCTTACTCACTTAAGCCTGAGACTGTTAGAATACAGGCGAGAGCAGTCAATCTGGAAAGACCCAGGGAAAATCGGCTAATCTTTCCAAATGTCTCTTCACCAGAAAAATGAAAAAAATCACACCTGGTTACCTATCGGTGTTCACTTTAAGCTCCACGACGATTTTTCTAATGTGAAATAAAGCTGATCCTCTTCACTCCGGATAACACACACATCCCAACTTTCCCCTCCCCACCTTCTTGTGCAGGAAAATAAAGAGAGGGGAAAAGAGAAAAGTCTCAGCTTGGGAGGGACTAACCTCGCGGTGACCGGGCCAGGCTCGGTGCTTGCTCGGTAACCCCATTCCAGCCTCCGCAGTCAAACGGCTTCGCACCCACAGTTTAGAATGCCGCCTGTTAATGCTGCAGCTGAGGGTCACAGCCCAGCCGGGCACAGTCCAGCGTCGGCCCTAATCCCCCGGCTGCCGGGTTAAAGCCATCCCCCGGCGTCCCTCCCCAAATCAGCCATTCCTCCCATCCCCCACCGCCCTCATTTACGACCAGGGAAGCTTTAGGGCCGCACTCTCTCCCCGAGGCCGAACAGATCTCGTTCCAAACAGGGGAAGACAGAAGAGGAAAGATGGAAAGTGGGGAGTCCCAGACTCGGGAAAGTCACCCCTCCGGCTACCCACAGGGACCAAGTGTCCGGTCACTGGCTCATCTCTCTCCTCCTCCTCCGACCGCAGAGCTCCACCGGACAGAGGCTTCCCGGACTCCCGCCACGGGCACCCACTGGGCTCCATCCCGCAGCTCCTCAAGCGAGGGGCCGGAAAAGAAGGGGGGTCCCTTCCCACCTCACCTGGGGCGGAGGCGCTCGCTCATGGCAGCTGGTGGAGGGGAGCGACGCGGCGCCGCCCCGCGCGGAGAGCGGACAGACGGAGTTGTTTGCCGGAGACCGCCACGCCCACCCCCTCGGGCCTTGGCTCTCGCCGCCGCGCGGGTGGAGGACGCCGGCGGTGAGTACCCCTCGGTGGGACCCGTACCACCGCTACTTCCGGCGTCTCCGCGCCCCCCCATGTCGCACCGTCGTGGTACCGCCCTCCTGAGGCTGCGCACTGGCGCGATGCCGGCCGCGCCGATCTCTAGCCCCGCCCCCAGGAAGAGGCGGCCTCGGCGGGAGGGGTGAGATTCGAAGCTTCTGAGAAAGAGGACCTTCGCGGAGGTGGCCCAAGCTTTCGCCTGTCACAGCGAAGGCGGAACACGGTGTAAAAGTGAAGCCAGGTATCAAATAAATTAAATTATGTCACAGTAAGTGGCACAAACATTTGACTTCAATCTCTGTGGGGTAACAGTTAAAAAGAACTAGGCGAGCGCTATCAGGCAGTGTGCGGACGACCTTCCGCTGGTCACGGGTCCGGGGGTTGGTAAAGCGCTGGTGGGCTGCCGCGGGGCGTCCACGCAGATGCTGACTGGACCTTGGGGTCGCGGAGGTGCGGGCGTTCCTCTGCGGTGAGTCTCGAAGGGCTGGGCTCTTTCCATAGCCTTCGTTCTGGGTCTGGGGAAGACATCTCGAGGCGAGAGGGGAGTAGATTAGGTGCGGGTTACCTGTGGCCTCGGATGGAACCTGTCCCGCCCATCTGCTGGAAGGAGCTGGGACCGCTAAGAAAAGGAAGGGATGGGGAAGGAAAAGCGGCCGGGAGTGAGAGTGAAGAATTAGTGTAGACTGCGAGATCTGCCGAGTTCCGAGCTCTCTGCTTCCCGGAACATTCCCGGGAGCTGCCGGGCATCAAAATAGCCCAGTTATTAGTACTGGAGTCAGTGCAAGTGTGCTCCCCACCTCTGATCGTGTTTTCCACAGGCTGACGTTCCCAGTGTCTTCTGCTGCACCCGGGAACTCGGGAACAGTGGCCGGGAAGCATGAGGCACCGGGAGAGACAGTCACAAAGTTAGCATCGTTCTAGAGGAGCTCGGGTAAGAAAACAGATGTCGCCGTGAAGTGCACTGTCCAGCAGCATGACATGCGGGGTGGAGTACGGGAGGCAGATCTCAGCCCTTTGTTCAGTTGGTAACGGAAAAGCCCAGGGACTGGCTTCAGTTGTGTGTGCTTTTGTAAATGGTCCATAGCTTCCATCACACCGTCGATGTTACCCCCAAACAAAGTAAGAATCGTCACTTGGACTGTTGGCAGAAACCAGTTTCGATCTGCACGACTTCCTTCTGTATGAAATAGGTGGGTTGGTTGCTGTGATAAATGAATATTTTGTAAATGGTTTCAAAGTCTGATCTATTTAGAGGTCGGGAGATGTTTTGAGTCGCGGTACTGTATAATATTTGCGCATTCATGTGTAGATAAAGGACTCATTCATCAGATATCTTATTTTATGTTAGTTTTGGAGACTACAGCTGTCCCTGCCCTCTGGAATTTTAAAGAAACAGTAAGAAATGTTCAAAAAGAACTTTCAGCTGAGCTTTGGAATTAAACATTTCTCGACTCTGGAGAGTCATAGAAGTACAAATCATGCATGGCATAAATGTTTAAAACTTTTTTACATACATGATACACGTTTAACAAAGATGTCAAGGTAAACAAATTTTCCAGTAATCAATTGTACTAAAAACTATAAGTAAAAAACTGGGGGTCAGGTCCCAGGAGCCTAATCCTAGCTACTCTGGAGGTGGAGATTGAGGTTTGAAGTCAGCCTGGGCAAACAGTTCTCTAGAACCCATCTCCAAAATAATCAAAGCAAAATGGACTGGAAGTGTGGCTCAAGCAGTGAAGCGCCCACTTTGCAAGTACAAAGCCCTGAATTCAAACCCCAGTCCCACCAAAAAAAAAAAAAAAAAAAGATTGGAGAACATTTTCCTTGTTTCATTTCTCATGCTCAGATTATGGAAGTTCTAGTATTTTCTTTTACATGCCAGTGGGGCTTCTTTATCACTTTGGAAGGCTCTGCCCTAATCATTAATGTTTGGATCCTTCCTGCCTGATTTTTTTTTTTCTTTTTGTAATGAAAGTCATAGTAAAGTTTATTGGGAAAGAAATACACTTTCAGTAGACTAAAAGCAGCTCACTGCTAGAGTGAGAACAACAATACAGTAAAGTTTATTAGAATAGAGACATTTTCAGGAGTGAAAATGAGTCATCTCAGAGAGGTTGAGAATGACTTAGTTTTTTAGTTCATCATTTCATCCTTGAGTGATGTGTTTAAAGGTTTCTAAATGATTTATTTGTGTGTACAAAATATCTAGTTGACTTACATAGCAAGAATCTTACTCTGGCTTGTATTTTGAACATTGTTTCCCTTGACTAGCCATTAATTTATTAGATGTAAGTGTTTCATCTTGCTCACCTCCTGTTGAAAAGTCTGTCTTACATATGACTGATTTCTAGGAAACTTGAAGAAATGTAAAATGCAAGCATAAATAGAACGAGGAATGTTTATCTTAAACTAGGCTATATTTTCTGTTCTACCTCTGTACAAAAAAGACTGGATGAAAACAAACTTTTAAAGTTTCCTTTACAAGCATGAGCCCTGAGTTCAAACTCTAGTGCTTCCAAAAAATAAAGAAAGAAAGAAAATTATTACCTAAAGTTTCCTTTAACCTAGGTTGTTCCAAATTAATTTAAAATCTAAGGCTCACATAATATATTGGTATCCACTGTGCAAGCTTTGTGTTCCTCATTATCTCACATTTACCTTTTTCAGAAGGAAGATAAGTGATACTCAGCCCAGAATGGAAGTGTGTCCTTATTGCAAGAAGCCATTTAAACGATTAAAATCCCACTTGCCACACTGTAAGATGATAGGGTCAACCATACCTACTGATCAAGGAGTTAATCAGTCCAAGCCAGCTACACCTCTACATGCTAAAAAAGTGAAGAGGCTGACCAAAGACTTAATTAAAGTTAAAGGGGGAGAACTAGAGACAGAGAGTGAAGAAAGAGATACCAAATTGGTAAGCAAGAAACTAGGACAGACAGTTGAATCCTTTCCACTACTGGCAAAAGCAGGTAAAGACATCAATGATAAAAACCACCTCTCCTTCAAAATGTTAAAACACACTGAACCAAAGACTCCCTTCCAGGGAGGAACTAAAGCTTCTTATGTGTTGGATAACATCTCTCCTAAAAGAGAACTTGCCAAAGATTTGCCTAAATCAGAGGAAAGGAGATGTAATCCTTCAGAAACAGAAGCATCTTTACTGGCTGACTCAACGGAACCTTCTTTGTTGAATCAAGATAGAAAATATATCTCAGCCACATCTAATGATGTACAAGCCACTTCTGTGAGTCTGAAATTGGACACAATTGATCCCCAAAGACAGAGGCTCCTAATAAAATTAGTAAGTGTGCCTTCTAGTGATTATCATCGTCCAGAGAATCTCAGCAATGGAGTTCAAAGAATAAGAGCATCAGTGTTGAGCAAGGAGAGTGATTCTGCAGGAAGAGGTTACCTCCCAGGGGTCTCTACTGATGTTAAAAACACTGAGGCTCAGGAAAAGAACTCAGAATCACTCATTTTAGGCCTTCACACTAACCCACTAGATAAAATGCAAGTTAAGAACCAAGAAAAACAATTTGACCTTGGAGTAGAGGTATGTGGGAGCAAAGGAAGTGCTGAGAAAAGTGTGTCTGCAACAGAAATGCAGGAATGGACTTCTGTGAGCCGTGGCTGTGAGAGCTTCACTGGCAATTCAGCCGCAGACGGTAAAGCACAAGATGAAGACCCACTTACAAATTTGGTCACACCACAGGAGGCAACTTATGATATGTTTCTTCCTTTGTCACAATCACAGGCTCAGAGTCTTGCCTCTCTGGCTGTAAAATCTCTTCAAGAAGAGAAAGCACAATTCTGCAGTCATAATCAAAGCTCTGGTGTAAAGTTATTACTAGAAGGGAAGGAAGAAGCTTCTGTGGAGCCCCAACCTGCCTGTCAACCTCAAGCATTGCTGCCTGGGTGCCAGCGATCTTCATGTTCTACCCAGGATCACATTTCTCAAAGCGCCCTCATCAATCATGTTGCTGCTGACAGGAAGACCCCTTCCAGCTCCATGGGGCTGGAGTGGTTTCCAGAGCTCTATCCTGGTTATGTTGGACTAGGGGTGTTACAGAGGAAGCCTCAGTATTGGAACTCAGTGGCCCAGAAGCCTTGGCGTACCAGCTCCCCATGGGGAGGTCTGTCAAAAGGTAAATAAGCTTGTTTGTAAGGGCCATCCAACCCATTAAAATGTTCCAGGCCTTTTGAATAAGGGCCAGAATACCGGTATGTTTGTTGTTCAGCTTGTTTTTGCCTGCGTGATCCATTGCACTGAACTTAACTGTTGGGAAGACATTACTTCCTGGTCCAAAATCAATGGTCACAATCAGTCATTCTCCCTTTCCCTCCACCAAGAGTTGAAGGAGAGGGGAAGGAGGAAACATGAATGAATGTGAGGCCTATGGGAAGAGAACAAACAACCTAACATTCTCATTATCAGAGTTCCAAAAGAAGAAAAAGAAAAACTGTGGAGCTGAAAAAATAGTTAAAGAAAAAGAGCACTTGCTTAGCATGTGTGAGGCCTTTGGTTCAGTCTCTAGAACCACTAGAAAGGAAAAAAAAGAAGGAAGGGAGAGAGGGAAGGAGGAAAGAAGGGAGGAAGGAAATGGCTGAAAATTATCCAAATTTGGTAAAAAAAATAAACTTACAGATTCAAGAAGTCAAGCAAAATCTGGGCACTGGTGGCTCACACCTGTAATCCTAGATACTCAGGAGGCAGAGATCAGGAGGAAGAGAAGCCAAACAAATACCACATAGGACAAACCTGTATCCATGCCCAAATATATTAAAATCAAATTTCTTTATTTTATTTTTTGTTCTGCTGTGGAACTTAAGGACTCACACATGGTAGGCAAGTGTTCTATCACTTAGCTACATTCTCTCCTTAACATCAAGTTTCTTAAAACTGAAGACAGGAAACATCTGCTTAATCATGTGCTCCAGGTTAGAAACTCAGGGAGACCTACTGAACTTCCAAGCTCTGTTAGATCTTACCCCCACCCCTGCCAGTACTGGAGTTTGAATTCAGGGCCTACACTTGAGCCATTCACCAGTTATTTTTTGTGATTTTTTTTTTTTTTTTTTGAGATAGGCTCTTGCAAACTATTTTGCCTGGGCTGGCTTTAAACCTTAAACCTGATCTCTGCCTCCTGAGTAGCTAGGATTACAGGCATGAGCCACTGGTTAGGTTGTTAATCTTGATAGCAGTTGAATTTATACATTGGAAGGAGGACAGCTGGTAGAAATGAGTGGGTATTCAAACTGAACAGACTTGAAAAACCCAAAAAGATTTCAGAATGCACCTAAGTAGAACAACCACTGGATTCAGAATTCAGTGAGGACCAGATTGTATAAGAACTAGGCTGCAGGTTTAAGGCCAAATGCAGCATCTAGAAACTTAGAATAGCAAAGAAGTTAGAAACAGAAGCTGTTGGGGTAAGACTGCCTGTGTAGGAATGGCAGTCAAGGCTGATAGGTGGAAGTAAGGCTCAGGAGATGACCCAGTAAAGATCAAGAACGAGGTATCGAGGATGAGGCAAGAAAGGGTATAGGAGCCCATGCACTGGAAGAACTAGGCCGCAGATTCTAAGACCCAGGAACAGTCCCAGAGATCTAGCCTGGGTTCATGAGAGAAAGACTTGGGGCGAGAGACTGGACCTTAAAATTGATCTTTGCTATCAGTTTTCAAAAGGTACTCTGGGCTATAACTGGATTAGGTTAACAAGAGTGTAGAGTGCCTGTGTAGCAAGTGTAGCCCTGAGTTCAAACCTCAGTACTGCCCAAAAAAAAAAGAGGGAAGGCCAAGGCCCAAGTAGGAGCCAGAAAGTCATTTTGAGTATCCTTGCCTTTTTGGGCTGAGTTTCATCTTCATTTATTTTAAGACAGTTATGCTACAGATCCCAGACTGGCTCTGAACTCTTGATCCTCTTACCTCTGCCTGAGTGCTGAGATTGCAGGTGTGGACCACCACACCCCCCTAACCTTTGTTTTTTGTTTTTTTGTGGTACTGGAGTTTGAAATTAGGTCCTATACCTTGAGCCACTCCACCAGCCCTTTTTTTATGATGGGTATTTTCAAGATAGGTCTCATAAACTATTTGCCCTGGCTGGCTTTGAACCTTGATCCTCCTGTTTTCTGCCTCCTGAGTAGCTAGCCACCAACACTTGCTTCTTACTTTGTTTTCTAGGGGCATAAAGTAGCATTTTGTCTCCTGTATAATGGTCATTGTTGTTTTCATGCTTATTTTGACAGGAAACGTAACAATTCAGAATAGGTTTGCAGGGCTGGAGGCATGGCTTAAGTGGTAGAGTGCCTGCCTGCCAAGCTTGAAGTTCTGAGTTCAAGCCCCAGCACTGCCAAAATAGGTTTGCACCTGAAAAACTGCTATCTTCCTAAAGGGAGATATTTTTCCCTCTCTGGTGTATTTTGCACTGAAATGTACTCACTAAATTCCTGTCTGTGTGGTATCAACTGCCTTTTGTGTATTATAATTCCTTTTCTTTTTTCAGTGCTGAGGATTGAATCCAGGGCCTGCAGTATGTTAAGTATGTGCTCTAACACTCAGCCATACCCCCATCCCTATAATTATCCCTTTGTAATGGGTTTCAGTGTGAATGTGTGTTAAGGAAAGAACGTTGCTAGCTAAAGCTACACTTTCTCAACTACTTCAGTAAATACAGGGTTTTGTTCTATAAACAGACCTACCACCTAGGCTTTTGTACAGAGTTGTAGTCTAGAGGTCAAGCTCCTTCTCCAAGTTAAACAGAGACTTAGTGATACATTTGTGATGCTTTGGAGTTTGCAGAGTGCTTCCATCTTCATTAGGAGATAACGAAATAGGCATAGAGAGGATAAGTGTTTGACCGAAGTCATGTTGCTCATGCTTTAAGGACTACGTTCACCATGCAAGAGAACGATCTGTGTAAAGAAGCCAGCATCATTCTTTGCCTTGTTATTTCCTATGATTATTTTGTTAGCATGTTTACATCTGTCAGAACTTTTATCACACCTGCTAGACTCACCTCTGTTTAGTTTGTTATTCTTTCTCTGACAAACCAAGACCAGAAAACCATTGGTAGTAGACATTACCTACCTAGCACTAAACATGGAGAAAACAGGTGCAGGAAAAATGTAAATAAGTAGCACAAGCCTTTCTTTTTGGTTCTACTTAAGCAATTCATGTTTTGAACACAAACTGAAAGGTTTGCTGGCCTAGCATGTCAGTGGGGTACACTGACTGTAGGTAGTAGTCACAGGAAGCAGTAGTTTATAATACAGGTTGAGCATCCCTAAGCTGAAAATCCAAAATGCTCTACAATTGAGATGTTTGAGTGCCAGCTTATGTATAGCAGTCCTGGAAAGTGGAAGATCCCAAATCTGACCACATCTGATCGGTTACAGTCACAACCCAGGCTCCTAAAACTGTTGTGTAAAGGCTGGGCACTGGTGGCTCACACCTGCAAATCCTAGCTTTGGGAGGCTTTGGAACCATGGTTTGAGGCCAGCCCCAACAAATAATTCGTGAGGCCCCCATTTCCAAAAATAACCAGAGCAAAATGAGCTGGAGTTGTCACTCAGGCAGTAAAGCTAGAATTGTCTTCAGCTGTAAAGTATAAGGTATATCTGAAAAATAAATTTTGGGGAGTGCTCCTCAGGTAGAACTTGCACTTAGTATGGTCAAGGCCTTAGATTCAGTTCCCAGCACGCACACACATACACGTGTATATATAATATATATGCAGAGATTCCAAACTATTTTTAACACAATTACTCTAAAACACGGTCCTAAGTTTTTCAGGTGGAGGATACTCAGTGGCTTTAGCAGCTGACAGGACTTCTACATACCACCTGGTTAAGCATATGCATGAGGATCATCTAGGCAGTAGATTCAACAGTTGAAAATAAAGTCCAAGCCAAGTACAGTAGCTCACATCTATAATCCTAGCTACTTGGGAGGCCGAAATCGGGGTGATCACAGTTATAGAGGCCAGCCTGGGCAAATACTTCAAGAGACCACATCTCAGAAATAACCAGAGCAAAATGGACTGGAGGCATGGCTCAGGCGGTAGAGCACCTGCTTTGCAAGCTTAAAGCCCTGTGTTCAAACCCCAGTATTGCATAAAAAAGTCCTGATCAACAGGGGCTCCCTCTCCCTTTTGATAAGCTTTTATTGACCTAGAATTAATTTGACTTTCAATGTGTAGTTAGCTGCAATCCAATGCAGAGATCAGTAATCCATGTGTTTAGAATATACTTTTCCCAGGGCCTAGCCCTGGGAACCTTGGCACTGAAGGTGGGGAAGGGGGTGAATTTAGATGAATTATCATAGTGGCTTCTCTTTGGAACCACAGTTCCTTTGTTGGAAAGAAGTTCGACTGATGTAAGGAGTTTGGAGCCTCTGACTGGGCCTGCAGCCTCCACCTACCCTCTAATGAGGCTCTTGGGAGTGATGCATAAAGGTGAGCTGGAGCAATTGTTAGGCTCTGAAGCTGCCTACACGCATTTGGAAAAGTTTGTCTTACTGTAAATTGTTAGAGCAAGGCTACAGAAAAGAGAGAAGTGATAGTCTTCTGTTTGTCAATTTTCATTTTGGAGTCAGACATAATTAAAAACACGCAAGCTAATACAGTAGCAGGTACCAATCATTTAGCAGCTTTTGCTTTTTAATACCTACCCATGCCTCTCACTGCCACCTAGCTCCGCCCTCCATTGCCTACAGTGACCATGCCTCCTCCCAAAGTCAAGACAATGCTAGACCTCCACTTACCCGATTACATTAGCCTCCATCCCATGAAGACTTTAATAAAGAGTAAGTCATTTGAATTTATTAAAGTCTTCTGCATTTTAGCTTTTTTACTGTTTAAAATAAATGTATGTCTGTATGTGTATAAGTTAACTGAATAACCCACATATGCCAGCACATTCACTGTAACAGTTACCCGTGTCTTTCTTTGGACAGGCTGGATCAGGTGCAACACCACCATAAAAAAGAGTGGAGTTGGTGGCATCACAATGCTGTTCACAGGATGCTTCATCGTCTGTTGTAGCTGGAGTTTCAGGCATCTGAGTAAGCTGTTCTACATTTTTAACCTAAATTACAAGTCACCTGCCATTTTAGGGACTGAGTGGCTTCTCATGTTAGAGTTTTGCAGTCTCTGGCATGCCCTAGTAGAATGAACTATTGCCTGGGGCTCTGGGTCTTTTTGTTAGGGGCTTTTTAAAAATAATAGCCTTTAAGATTTGACTAAAATTTAGTAACTGTGCCTTTACTGTTGTCACTGGAGATCTGGTAGTCTTGTTTTTTTCCTTTTGTAAGCTGTTCCCTGCCAGAGGGAAAGTGTTCTCCTTGGTGCCTAAGATCTCCTTTTTCAGCATGGAAACAGATAGCTTTCTGCCACAAAAGTTGTGTTTGGGGAAGAACCAAACACAACTCACTATCCATGTGCCTGAGACTTACAGCATCTTAACTTACACTTAAGTATTTATTTTGGTTGTTTGGTTTTGCTTTGCATTTTTGAGATGGAGCTTTGCTATTGTAGCCCAGGCTGGGGTTGAACTAATGTTCCTCCTGCCTCAGCCTCCCGGATGCTGGGATTACATGCAAGCACTGCCACACCCAATGGCCTTTAATATTTAAAAACAAGCACGCCTCCCAAATCTTAACCAGCAGAAAATCTCTTTTAATTCAACGTAACTTTTCTTCATTTCTTAACTGTTATGTTATAAAAACAGACCTAAAGGTTTTTTAAATTATAAATAGTTTATAGAAGGCTATCAAAAAATTCCAGTATTTTTTCCATAATTTAGAAGAAAAAAGAGCCCACTTTCAGATGAAAATTTCCAGTGTAAAAGCATAAGCAAGCCGGACACCAGTGGCTCACGCCTGTAATCCTTTATACGTGGGAGGCTCAGATCGGGAGAATCGAGGTTCTAGGCCAGCCTGGCAAAGGGTTCACAAGACCCCGTCTCCAAAACAACCAGAGCAAAATGGCTGAAGGTGTGGCTCAGTGGTAGAGTGCCTGCTTTGCAAGTACGAACCCTGTGTTCAAACCCCAGTCCCACCAAAAAAAAAGAAAAGTGTAAGATGTAGAGGCCAATATAATTCACACACTGGATTGCAAGATTTTTTTTTAAACATCAAGATTGGGTTCTCTTTGGGTGTTTTTGCTGGTTCCGCGCCTGGTAAATAGGAGGGCAGGTCACACAACAGGAATGGGGCTGCCAGCTCTGTAAGAGAAACCTGGCTGTTGGTGAGAAGTGTGAATCCATACATTAACAGAGCGGATCAAAAGCAAAGTTGTTTCTCCCAGAAAAAAAGGGCTTCTCTTAACAGTTGTACTGATCTGAAAGGGATTCTTTAGTTCCTGTGGGCGGTTAGACATTAGTAGATGTGCTGTTTTTCATATCCCTAAATCAAGACTGAGGAATGTAAAGCAGAAAGTTATACCCAAGACTATTTCAAAATTTATAAAAGGAAAATAACAAATGACCCATAGAGGTAAAAGAGAAAGTACATGTAGCCTCTTGGATCCTTACGTTTATCTCTGTTTGTCCAAAGAGTTGCAGCGCTGGCATAAGTAATGACCTGGACACCACCTAAGAGAGCTGTGGAGGTACAAGGGGAGCACAGTGGAGATGAATGCAGAACAGATGAACCATTTAAATTTGTACTGGGGAGGAGGGGGTGTAAGAATAAACAGCTTCTCAAACAGTCACGTAGGACATCTTACTGAGGCAGACATGTCTGTTTCTGTTTGGATGCTTCTTTGGCTTGCTCTCAAGTGACTGCAAGTTATTGAAAAACACAAGTTTGGGTGTTTAATCATAAGATTGTTATTAAGGAGACAAGATGATAAAGCTTGTCATTTAAATTATGAAGCTATTTCTTGCTGGGTGTGGTGGTACGTGCCTATAATCCCAGCACTCCAGAGTTGGAGGCAGGAGGATTGCAAGTTCCAGGCTAGCCTAGGCTCCGTAGTGAGACCCTGTTTCCAAAATTAAAAAAAAAAAAACAAAACTATTTTTCAATCCTTAATGAAAACCAGTTTTAAATCTTTCTCCCTAAAATTGTTCTCTATACCTGGTATTTTACCATCCATTTGTATGCAATACTAAACTACATATGTACTGATTCAAGATAGTATCCAAATTGACAAACAATGAGTTTACATCAGGCCTTTTTCTGGGGATCAGCAAGGCTCCCTGTGTTCTTAAGTAGATCCAACAGGTGTGAGAAACAAACCACTGGGATCTGAGTTCGGGTCAGCCTGTAAGAAACTCTCATAAATATTCCACTTTTTTTGCAGGGGTGGGGAGTGTTTCCTGGGACTAAAACTTATGACCTTGGACTTGCTAGGCAGACACTTTAACACTTGTGCCATGCCCTAGCCCTTCACAAATAGAATGTTAAGAAACTTTTTTGCAGTACTGGGGTTTGAACTCAGGGCCTCACACTTGCTAAACAGTGTTTTACCACTTGAGCCACACTGCCAACTCTTAAGGCACTTCTTGTTCCTCTTCATTGTGAGTGAGTACATGGCCTGTGTCATCTCTCCCTGGAACTTTAGAATCCCACCCCATGGCTTCTCGGGGATGTTTATAAATGACTCAAATTCCTTTCAGTTTGTCGGTGCTTATTTGAGCTAATGGATTTTCTGTCTCTCTTGTCCCCATCAAAAGATTTGGTGTCTTTGCAGTTTTTGATTTTTTTCTTTGGCTTCCCGAGAATAATGTGGATATTTACAAGAAAGCTTTAAGGAGGGCCTGCAGTATGGCTCAAGTGGTTGAGTGCCTGTCTAGCAAGGGTGAAGCCCTGAGTTCAAACCCCAGCATCTCAAAAAAAAAAAAAAAAATTGCCCTTGCTAGATCCTGGTGACTTCTGGTTGGTTGGGAGACTGAGATCAGGAAGATCATGGTTAAAGGCCAACCTGGGCAAATAGTTGAAGAGATCACATCTCTAAAATAACCAGAGCAAGATGGCTTTAGGGGTATGGCTCAAGCAGTGAGCACCTGCTTTACAAACTCATATCCCTGAGTTCAAACCCCAGTCAAACTAAAAAAAAGCTTTCTCCAACCCTTTCCAACATGGTTTGGTTTGGCATAGCGCGCACGCGTGCACACACACACACACACACAACACTGGCATTGCTTGGTTTTGCATCACACACACAGGCTTCGCTATAACATCCTCGTTTCAAAAACAGGTCAGTCCCCTTAGGCCACAGCTCCTTCAGAGCTACAAAAAACAAACAAACAAAAAAAGTAGCTGCAACTTGTACATTGTTTCCTTCTCTCTTAAAACCTGGATTCTGGATCTGCTTCACTTACCTTTCCTATTCCCAGTCCCCAGCTCCTGAGTGGGAGTAATTTAATTCTATAACAAATTCTCCTGGTTAAGGAGAAGATGCTCAGAATTCTTCCTAGGGAAAGAAATCCCAGCAAGAAGGAAAGATTACTGTTATCTAGACATTAGTAAGAACGTTGCTGAACATTCTTAAGAGGAACGTTGACTCAAGAGGTAGAGCCCTTGCCTAGCAAGCGAAAAGCTGGAACACACATACTTCACTAGAACCCTCCCAAAACAGTCTCTCCTTTTAAAGGGTTTCATGCCCATTCTCTGTAAAGTGCCTCCATTTAAAATGAGACACCAGAGATTCTCTCTGCTCCCTTTCTGTCCATCTCAAGGTCAGAAATTCTTAGGGAAGAAGGTAGATAACAGCCTCTCAACTATGTTCTTTCCTAGTCCCCTCCAGCAGAGGTCAGCAAACTACTGCAGCCACTGCCTATGGTAAACCAAGTATTATTGGAACACATCCTCATTTATTTGGTCAACTTTGCTGCTGTAGAATGAAACAGTCATAAAGTTGTAACAGAAACCATATACCCCCAAAAGTTAGAGTATTCACTAGCTGGTCCTCAATAGAGAGTGCGCCAACCCTGGCCCTAGAGTAGTATGGCTCCTCCGTGTGTTGGCGTGACAAAGACTGGGTCAGTGCCCTAAAATCCTTTGGGTTAGGGAACAGTTAAGTAGGGGAAAACCTTTCTCGACTTGTCTCAAGTGCCCTTTGTTGCACCATAACCACCCGTTATACCCAAGTGCACTGGTAGCACAGTGGGGTAGTTTGCCACCCCTAAGGTTTTTATCAAGAATTTTTATGTCACTATAAATAAGCTAGTACCACTTGTCACAGTCAGAATGCCTAGACATGAAAAGGTTTAATCACAGTATCTTACATCTCTGAAAATCAGTTCCTTATGAGAAGAGTAGAACTGCTTTTTCTTTTGATGGAACTGGTTAATTTATTTATTTACGTGTGGTACTGGGGTTTAAACTCAAGGTCTACACCTTGAGCCACTCCCCTAGCCCATTTTTTGTGATGGTTTTTTTTTTTCAAGATAGTGTCTCTTGCAAACTGTTTGCCTGGGCTGGCTTTGAACCTCAATCCTGATCTCTGCCTCCTGAGTAGCTAGGATTACAGGCACAAGCCACTGGCACCCAGTTTGGGACTGGAGTTTTAACTCAGGGCTTTGCACTTGCAAAGCAGGCCCTCCCACCACTTGAGGTATAATTCTAGTACATTTTGTCATGGTTATTTTGGAGATGGAGTCTTGCCTGGGTTAGCCTCACGCTGTTATCCTTCCAATCTCAGCCTCCCATATAGCTAGGATTACAGGCATGAGCCTCCAGCACCCAGCTAGAATTGACCTTAATGACCACTAGTCCTTAGGGGGTGTCATATTGCCAAGATTAAGGCAAAGATAAGAGCCTATGTTAATAGGAAGGGGGCTTTGTTTGGTAATGTCAGTATCAAGGACTCTATCTCCCATGTAATAGGAAAGAGCAAAGACTCTTCAGTGACTTCTTGAATTAGTGAGAATTGACTATTATGTCTTTTGAGACAAGATCTCACTATTTAGCCCAGGCTGGCCTCTAGCTCTCAAAGCCCTGCTTCAGCCCCAGTGCTGGGACATGTGCCACCACACCCAGCTGAGAATTGTGAATGTGTGTAACTTTGAAGAACCTGTTAAAAACAGAGTTCTTTATAGCTTCTTCCAAGTGGTGGAGAGAAAGACTTCCTTGCCTTATTGCTGCCATCAGAGGAAACACTGGAGGCCCTTTATCAAGTCCTGTGAGAATCTGTGCTTCATGGCCTCATAGTTTAAGAAAGGTGTCGGGAGGAGTGGCTGACCAATCCACTCTTAGATCTAAACAGCATCATCAAGGAATGTTCTTTACTTCACTTCGCAATGTGGATGTGAATTTGCCTTATGAGGATTCGTCTAGGCAAACATCCCTCAAGTTGATGTGCACAGCCAGTCCCACTTGTGAATATGATCTGGCAGGACGCCTATAATTCTAGCTACTCAGGAGGCAGAGATCAGGACTGTGGTTCAAAGCCAGCCTAGGCAAATAGTTTGTGAGACACTATCTCGAAAATACCCATCACAAAAATAGGGTAGAGTAGTTCAAGGTATAGGCCCTGAGTTCAAACCCCAGTACTGCAAAAAATAAGTAAGTAAAAGCATCATCCAGAAAGACTAAGACTAGAGGTTCTTCCAAAATTTTGTTCCAAAATTGAACAGTAGATGAGTAAAACTGCCACGTGCAGAAGCCAGTGTACTTCAGGTGTGAGGTGAGTAACCACTCACCTCTTCATAAAACAGGAGAATGAAGCATGTCTTTAACACTGCTTGCCCTTTTAAATGACCTGAAGGTTGTCTCTTAAGATCATGTTCCGCGCCTTCTGCGGCACTGATGGGAGCTTCCTGGGTGAGCAACAATGCTTAGGTTTTGCTTGCAGGGCAGCGCCTTGAAATTCTGACCCAGTCCTCCAGCAGCGTGCGCAGAGATTCCTCCTGAGACTCCAGACCACCCTCCCATCCACCCTGCAGAAGAGTTCCACCGTCCCCAGACTGCTCTGGACTCAACAGGACCAGCACTGAAGGTTGTGCTTCTGCAGGTTGGAAATATGGCCCCACTGAGCCCCCAGGTGAAACTCATGCGGTCTGTGTGAGGCAGATGAATGAACTCTGAGCTGCCTGCCTTCACTAATCTTGAGTAATAGCTGAAATGCTGAGTTTATAGGGAAGCCACATTTTTTTTCTAAAAACTTTAAAATATTGAGCTATTAAAAATAATGTTGAGCTGGGTGTGTGGCTCAGTGTTAGAGCACTTGCCTAGCATACATTAGGCCAAAAAGTTTTTTAAGAACATTGCTTGATTTTTGGAGCTGGGTGTAGTGGCTCACATCTGTAATCCCAGCACTTGAAAGACCGAGGCAGGAGGATTGTGAGCTCTAGGCCACAAAGCAAGATCCTGTCTCAAAAAAAATCATGTTAGGGGTTGGGGTGTTACTCAGTAGTGGGGCATATGCTTAACATGCACGAGGCCTGCCTGCTTTTCCATCTCTCGTGCCACAAAAGTAAGTCAATAAAGTAATCTGGATTATCTATAGGCTGTTCTACACCATGAAAAACCCACATCTTACTGTCACTACTCTTTATAATAAAAGTCTGTTTTCAAAATGGACTATTTTCTGAGCTCATCATTTGCCTCTTCCATATCTTCATCTGAAATGGGTGGCTGTCCCCTTGGGTAGGTTATCCAGTTTCCCAGAGCCTCCTCTATCTGGGGAGAGGTTTTTTTTTTTTGTTTGTTTTGTTTTGTTTTTCTTTTTTGGTGCTGGGATCAAACCCAGGGCCTCACGCATGCTAGGCAAGCGCCTTACCACCAAGCTACGTCCCAGCCCAGAGCCTCCTCTATCTGGATGATAAATTAGGGAGAATTATGTCTATGTTGCAGAAATTTGGAACCTCCGTCCATTCTAGCAAGGAGTGACACAGTGGAACTCATTCTCATTCATAGCAGCTGCTCAAAAACCCTTGAACCCAGGAAGAGTGGCCCCATTGCCATCCATGCTTGTGTCCACCAACATTTGGGTGCATGTCTGTGCCAGGTGCTTTGCAGAGTCCTTTACATGTACTGTCTCTACCTAGGCATAGCCCTGTGACGTGGGTGCTCCTGATCCAGAATGGAGAAGCAAGCTTGAGGTTAAACACGGCCTACTTCTCTAGGTACTGTTGTCACACAGCCCAAGGAGGCTTGAATTGGCATCCAAACCCTCAACTCTACTCTTTGGCCCATGTTCCTTTACACAGCCTTGGCTCTGACCCTTTGCTTTCAGGAAAACAGACAGCCAGCTCCACCAGGCCTGCCGTGTACCTCTTGTTGCTTTTTTTCCTTTCTGTAAAAGTCCACCGAGACCCCCCCTTTCTCCAGTGGAGTAAGTAGCAGTGGTGTCTGAGATATATAGCAGCACAGACAGTGTCACATCACACATCCGTCACTGCCTTCCCTCTCCTGGATGAACCTTTTTCGTACCATCTCCTGCCAGAAAACCCCATAAAAGGCACAGAGTATATTCTTCTACTTCAGCCATAGAGGGAAGCAGCTATCAACGTTCATATAACCATTTGATTTAATTGCCAGTTTTCAGCAGTCCTTGAGGCCATGTGCACAAGAACTGCTGTGTGCGCCCTGTTCTGTCTAGGGGAGCATGGGAGCCGTGACCCTGCAGTTACCACACACTGGAGCTTGTGGTTTCATACTTTGCTCCCCCAGTTCATGGATAACTCATCCCTGCCAGTCAACCTGCAATCCTGTTTAATTTTCAGCAACTGATTCACACACAGAATAAAAGGAAATAAACCCACACACAGCAGGCTGCTTCTGCACCTTGTACCCTGGTTAGGCTGACAGCAGGCTCACTGGAATGCTGCAAATGGAACCCCGTAGTAAGGCCATCAGGCATCTTCACCAGATCTTCAGTTCCCCAAAGCCACAGGTTTCACATGACTCCTACCAGTGAGTCTTAGCTGCACTTACTGGCATCATGGCCTGGTTTGGGCACTAAAAGAGAAAATGTCAAAGGCACGATCTCTTGTAAATTCATATCTCATGTGAAAAAATCCTAAATTGTCTTGGGAGCATAAGAGAGCTGGCTTTCTGAAGAATTCAATGGGTTTTTATAAAGTTGATCCCATTTCAAGCCTAAAAGAGACTTCATCAGGAGGCTAAGGCAGGGGGATCACTTGAGCCCAGGAGTTTGAGACACCACCTCAGACAGAAAGACCTACCTTGAATTCAAGCCTAGCTTTACAATCACAGAGAACAAAGCTCTCTTTCTTGTTTTTGAGACAGGTTTTCAATATCTAGCCCAGGCTGACCTCAAACTCATGATCCTTCTGCATACGCATTCCAGATGCTGGGATTATCAGGTGTGCACCACCACGACATCTGGCTCAGCTCTGGACTTTCAAAAGCTCATAAAGCCAAATGTACATGGAAGTAAATGGGCTGGTGGAGTGGCTCAAGCAATAGAGCACCTCCCTAGCAAGCGTGAGACCTGAGTCCAAACCCCAGTACTGCTAAAAACCAAACAACCAAACGGTTGTGCCTTTCTTACCTGTCGTCTTTTGATTCTTTTTGTAGAACAGAGAAATTGAAGTCCAGGATAATTTAGATTTAATCATTCTTAATGTCATAAAGGTATGACTAAAAACATGACTTTTGTCTTCTGGCAGACCAGAAGGTAGCAAAAAAGAATCAAGGTGCTACATTCCCTCCCTTGCCAATCTGCCCCTGGCCTGCAGACCCTAAGGACGTGATGTGTGAATAACTCAGGATTAATGGGCACCAAAAGGGAAATGAAAGATGTTTTACTCAGCCTTTAAAAGAAACAGGAGATTCTGCTGGGATTATGTTCTTGAGACCACACTTGGGCTTACTGGTGTCCCCCCATTCTTTTGGCTCACTCAGCTGAACCAGTGCAGGTTCTCATCTGCTGTCAAGGAAGGAGTCAGCACTGCCCGCCTGCTCTGTTCTGCTCAAACCCTGCCCGGTCAGCTCAGCCACTCACCTGTAGCACAGACTGCTCTTGATCCCTGACAGGTGACAGGGCAGGTGCTTCTGGGCCATGCTTTCTGGTGGAGGAGCAGACACACTGAGGAGGCTTACAAGCTGTAGCAGAAGCAGGAGGAGCTGAAACCTGTGGCCTGTTGACAAGCTGCAGAGAAAGTGAAGTCATGACATGCCTATTTCAGAGACCCTCTAGACATGGAGACAATGTGAATGCTGGGGCACTGGCACAAATTCAGACTCCTGCTGGGTCTCCAAATCCCTTTATTTAGCTGTGCATCCTGGGCAGTGTTGGGATTTGAATTCAGGACCTTGCCCTCGCTAGGCAGGCACTGTGCCATACCTGATATAGGCATGGAGCCATGCCTCCATCCCTTTATTTAATTTTAACTCCAAAAGCATGCCTTTGAAAAAAGTTAGAGCTGGGCACTGGAGGCTCATGCCTGTAATCCTAGCTACTCAGGAGGCAGACATCAGAAGGAACATGATTCAAAGCCAGCCCAGGCAAATAGTTCATGAGACAATATCTCGAAAAAACGCAACAGAAAACAGGGCTGATAGAGTGGCTCAAGTGGTAGAGTGCCTGCCTAGCAAGCATGAGACTCTGAGTTCAAACCCCAATACCACAAAAAAAAAAAAAAAGTGGGCGTGTAAATTCTCCAGAGGCATCCCACCTTCTATCAACAGTCTACCTCAACCACAAGGGCTGTCTTCCTCCCCAAAACTCAGTAGTTGCTCCCAGTACACCTGTTTGGTCTTTGTCAAACTTAAATGGTAGTCCAATATTCAGTCTCCCAGACCATGGGAGTAAGAGTAAGCATTTCAGACTCTGCAGGACATGAGGTCTGTGTTGCCACCACTCTACTGTCAGCTCCCAGAACAGCCATAGGCAGTATGTAAATGCTTATGTCCAAAACCATTTTCTGTTGCTGTCACAGAACACCTGAGCTTGGCTAGTTTGTAAAGAAAAGAGGCTTATTTAACTCACATTTCTAGAGGCTGAAATCCAAGATTGAGAGGTCTCATCTGCTTGGCTTCTGGTGAGGTCCTCATGCTGCTTCATGCGTGGCAAGAAAGTGGAAGGACAAGCAGGTGAGTGCAAATAAAGGTCACTTTGGGACAAAGGAAGCGAGAGGAATTGGAGCACTCTGAACTCGCTTTATAACAATCTGCTGTCAGTAACTGATCGGGTCCCATGAGTGCAAGAGCACGTTCCTATGAGACCACCTTAATGTATTCACGGAGGAGCTGGCATTTTTCTACGATCCAGACTACCTCTCACAGGCCCCAGGTCCAACACCGCCTCAACGATTTTGGTGGAGACATACCACATTCAAACCATAGCAGGCAATAGCAAATGTGAATGCTACTCTGTCCCAATAAACTTCTTACGAGCACTGGAATGATCATTTTCACGTTCAAAAAATTCTTACCCGCCCCCAACACACAAGCACATCCTCTAAATGCATCCTCATTCTCTAGTTGTAGAAAGGCAGGCAGTGGTGGGCTGGGGAGCTCAGTGATAGAAAGCTTTGCCTCACACGTGCAGAGCTCTGGGTTCAGTCCCCAGGTAGTGGGCTGGGTTTGGCCTACAGGTTGTAGTTTGCTGACCCTTGACACAGGTTCCCACAGATGCTTGTTGCCATGGGGAGCATATATGTTGCCAGGGCAACCAGGTACATTTCTGAATCAGGGATGGCCTTGGTTCAGAAAACTGACTCTGAACCTTAAGTCTTGACCTGGGCTCCATTTTCTTTAACAAAACCACAAAGTGCTACCCAGTTAAAGGAAGACCTAGGGGCCGATCCACGCAGTTCTATCCAAGGCAGAGATAGAACTTGGGGAGAATCTGGGAGGAAACACCACATAGAGGTGCCCAGCAGACGTTACCACGTGTGCATTTTGTAAGATCAGCAGATCCCACAAGAGAGTGGATGTCCCTTGATAGAGCACTGTGCTAGGGAGCAGGGACAAGTGCGGAGTGGAGGGAGGTAGACATACAGGCACCCCGCCTGCTGTGCTCACCTTCACATAACTCGGGTGGAATACCAGATGCATCTTAGGACTAGGGGAAGCAGAGAGAGAATTACAGGCGCTCTCGCCTTCCTCCTCCTCGTTGGCATGCTATGGAGCAACCCGCTGCAGACTTCACCTCTCAGGACCCCAAGGGAAGGAGCCCTCATCCTGGGAGCAAGGGAGAACCGCAGAGGGCTGGGGTGGGGTGTGGGAAATGCTTCTGTTATTTCCAGAACAGTTTGTGAGAGGTCTGTCTGTCCCTGGCATGAGTACTCGTTAACAGGTGGGTTGGAGTTCATGTGGTCAGTACTCCCCAAGGTCAGGCAGCAATGTAAGGAAAACTCTTTGTCGATGGACACTTGCCAGGCTTAGCCTTCTACCTCCAGCCAATGAAGGTACAGAAGACTCTAGATCCAGAAGGCTGGGCCCAGCATACTTGTAGGAGTTGGGATTCTAGCGATGATACTTACTGTGCAAATTGACACTTGGGTCCCTCGGGGCAGAAGCCAGTGAAGTAGTTGAGACACACTGTTTGTCGGACATGTCGGTATTTACACAGGGGACCTGCTGGGCAAGAGCACATAGCCAAGGATCTGTGTCATCCAGAGAGGAAAAAACACGAGTGTGGGCTCATGGGGAGAGTGTAGTCAACCTAGGTTCCCCATGGAGTTGGGGAATATAAATCTTGTACTTTCTAGGCATCCTGAAGCCTGGGGAACCAGAACCTTGGTCCAGTTGACAGTGGAGCAGAGCAGGTAGCCTGCTCAAGGCTGTGGCTTCCATCACCAGCAGCCCCCTCCCCAAAAGAAGGTACAGCTGAGAAAAAGCTAACCCTGTGATCTTATTGCTCCTCCTCCAGCAGCCTTCTGCCACCAGCCCCTCCCAAACCAGCAGAGCTAAGAACTCAGTAAGAACAATGTACCTGTGAACACAGGAAAAGGACATACATGATACAAATGACCCTGGAAGGGAACCCTGCCTCCTAAGTTTGGCTGGAAGCAGTGGGAAAGGTGGCTTGATTAAATGACACTCTGGGGCCCCAGGTGGGCAAAAAAGGAGAGAAGCACCACAAAATGAGGTGAGTGTCACATGTCAGGCTTCCAATGGCAGGTAAGCAATTTGTTCAAAGTCATGCTGAAGGTAGGACTTGAACCCAAGTAAACCTTGCCCAAGAATCCCATTGTGCCCCACACCAGGCTGTTTCACTGTGTCAGGCACAAGCCTGGGGAACTACAGAAAGGCCTTCTGCTGGGGTGTCAATGTGGCAAAGAGTCTCTTGGGAAATATGGTCTCTCCCCTGCTGAGCACCCCCATCCTAATCCTCCCCACTCCCCCACCCCACCGGGCCGTGCGTGTCAATGCCTCACCCTCCTTGCAGAAACCTTGGTCATACCAAGGGCAGTCCTGGGATTTGAAAGCTGGCTTCTCGTGGCGGAAGGAACACTCCCTGTTGCTGCAGTCACCTGAAAAATCCCAGAGTTCTTTGTATATAAGCAGGATTTCGCTTCCCCAACCGAGTTGATTTTGCCTCTCACATATGTGTCAGTGGCCTTTCTTCTGATTGTCCCCAGCCTTTTGAAGACAGCAAATTTCTCATCCTTCCTGCAGTCTTAAGAAGTGTGGGTCCCACTAAGAGCTGTAAGCAGGGCATGGGTACGTACACATCTGGAAGAGGGGTCAGGGTTAATTGTCCAGAATGAAGCCCCAGAACTCAAGGGATCTAGGAGTACCAGAGAGGTAGGAACAAGGAGCCCTGATTCTTCATTTCCACTAAGACTTCTCAACTGCTTCCAGAGCCCAGTGGCAGGTTTTCTCAGAGGAAATGCCACAAGTATAAACTGCTTCCAGTTGACGTGAGGATGAATGGGCACCCCAAAGGGGCAGGGATAGCTGTACTAAGCCCATGCTCTCTCTGTGGAGTAGGTGCCTGTGGGCACAGGCTGCCCCTAGTTGCTGTAAGAGCCTCTTAGGTTTCTCTTAGGAAGAGCTGAAGGAAATGGGGAATTCAGTCCAGATCCGCCTCCTCTGAATGGAGAATTTATTTCCAATTTCACCCTCACTGAAGTCCCACATCTCAGTGCTCTTCAGAGCTAAAAGGAACATTTTAGTGTCTATCCCTCAGTTTTCAAGCTGTTCCAGAGAGATCTATTTCATACACTGGGCTTCTGCAAAGCAAGGTTCCACCAGAAGAGGTCCCCTGACTCCTGAGGGTTTTGAACCACCTGCCATTCTTTCCCAGCCCTCTCACTTCATAAATGAGGACTCGGTGCTCACAGAGGGGCAGTGTCTTATGTACGTTCACTCAGCTTCCTAGAACTGATGAAGGGTTGACTTGCTAATTATCAGTGTGCAGCACTTCGTAGAGTGCTGACCCTGGGCCTGAGCCTTCTAAGGATCCAAGGGACCTCACCCCTAGGGCTAGTCAACATTTGCTAGATGGAGAACCTGGATGCGCGACTCTGCATCCCACTTCTTGTCAGCAGGTGGCAGCATCACCTCAGCCTCCAGTCAGCCTGGCAGAGCCACCAATACAGGTCCCACAAGCAGGGTAAAGTCCTGGACACCCTTTCTCCTTCAGCTACAGCCTCACTTCCCCAATAATAGTTTACGAGTAAAAACAATTTGTATCCAAGAAGGATGATAATTTTTTTTTTCTTGCGATGAAGGTTTTGCTTTGTAGCCCAGGCTGGCTTTGAACTTCTGGTCTTCCTGCCTCAGCCACCTGATTGCCGAGATTCCAAGTGTGTACCACCATGCCTGACAAGAATGATAATTATTTTCTATGTTAATAGAAATATTCATTTACTGAAAGAACAGAATTATAGGTTACATATTGTAGTCGTGGTTTTACACATCTGTCCCCTGATATAATCAGAGCTATCTGAGGAAGAATGGGACTTTGTCCTGTTGCATATTCATGCACAGTACAGTGCCCGGTCCCCAAATGAAACCAACCAAGGGTTATTGAGGGACAAATTAAGTGGCATCTTAAAAAGAAATTGCCTTTGGCAATGACCAGGGAGGCCTGGGCTCTCAGATAAACTGTCCTTTTATTCCAGGAGGACTTGTGTGCAGCCCTCATGAATTACCACAGCTCTCAGCTGCCAGGAGCAGACAGGTTAATACAATGCATGCTGGCCTGGGAGGAACTTTCCCTGGCCTTGGGGGATGCTCTGCCTCCTTCCACATACCCAGGACTCTCCGATCAACTCTTAAGGGGACCAGCCATCTGTGGGTGTCCCTGGAAGTTGGTCCTGAGCCTCCTAAGTGAAGGGTATCCCTGAGGATGCTCCCTGTTCTCTCTCTCTGTGCCCCTCTGCAGTCACTCTTTTAGAACACAGTTTGTAGCTGAGCGCCAGTGGCTCACACCTATAATCCTAGATACTCAGGAGGTAGAGATCAGGAGGATCGCAGTTGTCGGAAGCCAGCCCCGGCAAATAGTTTGCAAGACTATCTTGAAAAACCCTTCACAAAAACAGGGCTGGTGAAGTGGCTCAAGGTGAAGGCCCTTGAACTACTGAGTTCAAGCCCCAGTAGTACAAAAAAAAAAAAAGAAAAGAAAAATAGAACAGAGTTTGAGAAGCACTAGAGTAGATAATCCTAAAGGCCCCTTCCAGTTCGGAAAAGCAATGAGCGGTGCAGTATCACATTTGCAGACTTCACTCTTTAGTGAGGTGAAAAGTGGCTGCCACTGCCCCCTAAATAGCCTGGATGACAAAAGAAAGACTTGAAGTCAGAAGATAGGTAAGGCGCTGGAGTAGAGCTGACCACACAAGGTAATTTTAGGGCCCAGACTTCTGAGTCTCATGTTTTATATTTACGGTTACCTTTTACTTCCAACGAGTGACGCTGGCTTTCCATTTATAGAAGCAAGGCAGTTTTCTTGCAAAATAAAAGTTAGAAATTACAACTGGGCACCTATGGCTAACGCCTGTAATCCTGTCTACTCAGGAGGATTGAGGCTTGAAGCCAGCCTAGGCAAATACTTCACAAGACCCTGTCTCGAAAATACCCAACACACACACCAAAAAATAAAGGCTGGTGGAGTAGCTCAAGTGGTAGAGCACCTGCCTAGCACACTCAAGGCTCTGAGTTCAAACTCTAATGCCACACACAAAAAAAGAGAGATAGCAAGATAGTTGACTGAGGACAATGCAAGAGCCTTGTGGGTAGGACAAGCATAGTGACAGCAGCAGTCAAATGCCTCCCTTCTGGGGACCCCTGGTCTGGACCCAGTGGGGACTGAGAGATGACTCATTTGAGACTTATTTCCAACTGTCATGCTGCATGTGTGGTACCCAGGGCTGTGGAGGAAAAAAAATGCCTCCTTCCCTTTGGGGCTTACGGGGGGGACCTAAGCCTGGTAGATTGCAGACTCAGTTCTACTTTCTGAGGGTTCAGAAAACCAGGCAACTGAGGCTCAGACACCTGCACAGTCCTCGCAGCCAGTGCTTGCACACCACGCTCTTCTCACCTCGCTCATGCCGGAGTGGACAAAGCTTCCCTGCAGATCAGAGCGCCTGCTGGAAGGCCCCACTTGCCCACTCTGGCTGGGCCCAGCTCAGTCCTCGAGTTCCCCAGGGGATGTGAGGCTCATCCCCAGTTGCCCTCCCTGTCACCTAGACCCTGGGAGGAGCTAGAAGAGAAGCCAAGACAACCCATCATAGACAGCCGTTCCCACTTCCATACCCCAGGCCTGGATCATCAACCCTTCTCCCGGTAGCAAATCCCAGGAAGCCCCAGGCTCAGGACAGCTGCTTCCCCCACGGCACCTGACACCCCCACTTCCTATCAGACAGCAGCCTTGGATGTCCTGAGACATAGTAAAAGCTTGTTGAATTCATGACTTAAAAAAAAAAAAAATGCTGCAGACACTGGTGGCTCATGCCTGTAATCCTAGCTACTTGGGAAGCTAAGATCTGGAGGATCAAGATTCAAGGTCAGCCCAGGCAAATAGTTTGCAAGACTCCATCTCCAAAATAACCAGAGCAAAACTGACTGGAGGTGTGGTTCAAGTGGTAGAGCACCTGCAAGCTCGAAGTCCTGAGTTCAAACCCCAATTTGAAAATAATTCAAATTTTAAAAATTAAAAATTTTTTTAAATGTGGTAAGTTGTAAAGTACCTATCTAGCAAGCATAAGGCCCTGAGTTCAAACCCCTATATGACCAAAACAAACAAACACACCCAACAAAAAATGTGAAGCTTTTTGATTCCATGGAAATGAAAGAGCCAACTTGGTAACAATTAACAGGGGACCTTCCATGGCAAAGTTAGATTTAATTCATGGTTTCGTGGTCTTCATTCAGTAGGTACTGCCACTGGCAGAGAGGACCAGCCTCGTGCATGGCCGACTCTCTTGCTGCCTCTAGGTTACAGAGAAGGTATTCTCTTCAAATTCCCTTTCCACGGTCACTGGTGGCTCATACCTATCATCCTAGCTACTAAGGAGGCAGAGATAAGGAGAATTGAGGTTCAAAGCCAGCCGCCTCCTGAGATCTTATCTTGAAATACTCAGCACAAAAAAGGTCTGGTGGAGTGACTTAAGTGGTAGAGCACCTGTCTAGCAAGTGTGAGACCCTGAGTTCAAACCCCAGTACCGCCAAAATAAAAAATTTAAAAATTCCTTCCCTCACACCTGGCCCTGTGTTGGGTGTTTTTGAGATAAGGTCTCAAACTATTTGCCTGGCTTTGAACTGCAATCCTGGGCTGGTAGAGTGGTTCAAGTGGTAGAGCGCCTGCCTAGTAAGTGCAAGACCCTGAGTTCAAACCCCAGCACTGAAAAAGAAAAGAACTGTGATCCTCCTGATCTCTGCCCCCTGAGTAGCTAGGATTACAGTGTGAGCCATGGTACCCGGCAACACAAATCTACAGGTAGGCTGCAGGAAGGCTGGGAACTCCTAACATTGGAGGCAAGATTTTTCTGGCATCTGTGTGTTTTTATGGGAAGAGCCTTAAAGTGGCCCATGAGCCAGAAGAGAACTTGAGAGCAGAATGGCTGCATTTTGGGAAGGGACTAGGCAAGGGGATCATTTGATCCGCCGTCCAGGGGCAAAGTGGCTAGACTGTGGCTAGAGCTACCCAAGTGCATAAGGAATGACTGGGACAACTGACCAGTTTCTTTGTTGATTCAAAGAGAGAAGGCAGTCACTCTCTTTACAGGCAGGAGGGTAGGAGAGAATAAGGTCTGAAGCCTCCTGAGAACATACAGGTCACAGCCCAAGATCACCCCACCTCAGCAGGGAAGAAAAAAGGGAATGCCCCTTCCAGGCAGCCCTGCTACCCTAATGCAAATGCCATCAGAGCTGGAGGTGGCTCAGCAGAAAAGTGCCTGCCTAGCAAGTGTGAAGCCCTGGGTTCAACCCCCAGTACTGCCCAAAAAAAAAAAAAAAAAAAAAAAAAGCTGCACTGCAGTGGCTCACACCAGTAATCCTAGCTACTGAGGAGGCAGAAATCAAGAGGATCATGTTCAAAGCCAACCCAGGCAAATAGTTTGCGAGACTCTATCTTGAAAAAAACACATCACAAGAAAGGACTTGGTAGAGTGGCTCAAGATGTAGGTCCCGAGTTCAAACCCCAGTACTGCCAAAAAAAAAAAAAATGCCACCAGGGTTAACAGGCACCTAAAAAAAAAAATTCTGCCTCATTCCAGTGATCCTTCCCCAAGTACAAATTCCACACCCTATCTCAGGCCAGGCAGAGACTCTGTTGATTCCTGTATGACCTTGACAGCCTCTGATCCTGCCCAGCCTAGGTCTGTCTGACTCACCTTTCTCACAAAGCCCTTTAGCGAAGAAATTGCACACAGCTGAGCCGGACTCTGGAGGGGAAGGAAGGGAAGAGAAGTGAGTCCCCAGCGCTGCAGCTGTCTGGAGGTCTTCAGCCCCTTCTACTAGCAAGTCCTACCCAACACCCCATCCCCGCCCCGAGACTGAGGCCTGAGGGCCACCAAGTACTGTTTGGAGGCTGGCCCCAGAGCCAACTCAACTTAAACCTTCAACTGTGAAACAGAAAAGAAAGAGTGCTCCAGGTCAGCCTGGGAGCCCAGGAGGGCAGTGGCTCCTCTAGAAACCCTGTTCTGTGGGTTTCTTTCTCAATCTGGAAAATGGGTTACCAGAAGCCATAGAAGAAAGCCAGAAAGAAGGGGGTCACCCCCTTATGGGGCTGGGGAGGGCAGTGGGTCCTGCCTATACTCACTGTCCATGCCCTGGAAAGGCAGGAGCCCAGTGCCTGTCTGCAGCTCCACATCCTGCTCAAAGGCAAAGGTGAAATGCTCCAGCCCGGCAATGACCTCTTGCATCTTCCTTCTGCTGGGGCTCCTACAGCTGCTAAAGGCCCTGCAGGTGGATCCTTTATAGCTTGTCAGCCCTTAAGGGGCCAGGGCTTGATGTCCCCCTTCCCCCCAAACACCCAGGAAGCCAGTAACCAGGTGAAGGCGTCTCTTTAGCTGGGTGTAAGGGGGGACAAACTGCTTTGGTACCCTCCCATGCAGGTGCAGATGCCACAGAGCCCCACACCCCTACAGGATAAGCAAAGACCCACAGCTGCTTATCTGTGCATGTCACCAAACCTGTGTCATACTGAAAATGTGAGGACATAGCTATGGATTAGCAAGGCAGGTGTGGCACAGACTGAACACAACAGGGCTGTTTGAATTCTGCCAGAAAGTGGGGGGCTGAGGGTGTGGGGCAGAGGGGGTAGCCCCTCCACCTTCCCTCTCTCTGCATCAGGCGCCTGACACCCCTTTTCTGCCTGAGTGACAAATCCCAGTGGGGCTTTTCATGGGAGAGAGGGAAAAACGAATGAAGACAGAGAACTTGGAAGCAGTCTGATGAATGGTGCTTTGTTTACCTCGCACACAATCTCAAACTTGGCTGGCAGGTGGAACCAATCCAAGGCACAGGAGGCCTCCTAGCTAGGATTCCACTGGGCCACCCAGTGCCTCCCTACCCCTGAGAAAGTGCTCTGTAAACAAAATCCCCATGCAAAAGTGTTCAAAGGAACACTTTAGGGCTCTTAATTGGACGAGGTATCCCCCCCACCCCAATCACTCTGGCCTCCAGCTGGCCTGGCCTTTCCCGGAGCTGTGTTGCCAGGGCCACATGGACCTTTGATGCCCGTAGAATCAGAACAGGAGTGACCTCCTTCTTAGCGGGGAGAGGTGAGCAGTACCCTGCAGGCCTGTGGCTGGGCCAGAGTGAACCAGCCTGCCAGCTTTGTTTCCTGTGGCTCTAGCACCTAGATTTGTTGTGATTTTGAAGTCCAGATCAGAAAAGAAAACAGGAGAGAGAAACAGACACCTGGTGTGAGGCAGGGCTGGGAGAGCCAGGGAAGTGATCCAAGACTTTCCCAAGCTTGGGATGCCCTTGACTATATACCGGGGGTGGGAGGGGAGGCAAAAGGGAGCTTCAGGACTGCCAGGAGGTAGGAGCCTTTGCTTCTCTTGGCCTTACTCGCATGCATTGATTAGATCCCATTCATCTGTCACCATTAGCTCATTTAAGGCTTCCACCACCCTGGCAGGGCAGGCAGGGCAGACAAGAAATCAAGGCCCAGAGAGGCCAACGGCACACGGTTAGGAAGATGATAACAGGAATTCAAATCCAGATCATCCTATTTCCTCCATACAATGCCCTGAGCACATTTGTTGGGTTGGCGGGGGGGAGTGGGGGGGAGTCCCTGCCCTCCTGGATGGCCCAGGACACAAACAGTGAACACTAAGATAAGACAACTGAATGATAAGGGGCCTGAGTGGGGGAAGGAGTGGTGGCAGGGGGGGCACTAGGAGGAGAGTCTGGTGTTGATGGGGAGAATGATCCAGTAGAGGGGCCAGCAGTATAAAGGCACCGGCAGGAATCAGAGGGCAGCTTGAAGGAGTTTGGTGTGTGAAGAAGCTAGAGGGCTAAGTGGGGTTCTTAGGGACTTTCAGGGGGCTGCCAGAGCTCTGAGGGGAAGAGGACGAGCACCTTGGAAAAGGAATGAAGGGGAAAACCAGTGGGAAGGCTACTTAGAAGGTGAATGAAAAATAATCACTGGAATGGGAGGTATAGGCTGAGGTGGTTTCTGGTACCCTGAAAGAGTTAAATTGGGGATGACCTTGAAGGGGACTCCCCAGGTGAGTCTCTTCCCTCTAGGCTCCCATTTCTCTCTTCCTCAGGTCAAGGTCTTACCCCCCCAACAGGGGCTTCCTAGCCCCCCACTTGCTTGGCCTGCAGAAAATGCTCCTGGCTGTGGTGAGCACAGGTTCCCTCTCCCATTGGGTCACCATTAATACAGCACAAAAATGAGGGGACTTTGCACTCACAGATTCAAAGTCCCCTCTGCAGTAGATTGAACGGTCTTCCCCAAAAAGTCCCAAGTCCTAGGTGATCCCTGGTACTGTGAATGTGACCTTATCTGGAAACCAGATCTTTGCAGGTGTCATTAAGTTTAGGATCTCAATATGACATCCTTGGGGCTGAATGTGTGGCTCAAGAAGAACACTTCCTGGCAAGTGTGAGGCCCTGAATGCAAACCCTAGTGCCGCAAAAAAAAAAAAAAAAAAAAAGATGTCATCTTGGAATTAGGGTGAGTCATAAACCCCACAACTGGTATCTTTATAAGAGAAAGAGAAGAGGGAGATCTGACTTCAAAGAGACATGGAGAAGAAGGCCACCTGAAAACAGAGACAGAGATTGGAGCCATACAGCCAAGGATTGCTGGCTGCTGAAAACTAGGAGAGACAAGACACAAATTGTCCCTCAGAGCCTCCAGAAGGACCCAACACTTCTGGCACCTTGACTTTGAACTTCTGGCCTTCAGGATGTGAGAAAATAACTTTCTGTTGGTTTCAGCCCACACTTTATGGCCACTTGTTATAGCACTGTTGGATTTTTAGTTCTGGAAGACTTCACCTCTTCTACAGATGAACAAATAAAAACACAGAGGAAGCCAGGCGCTGGTGGTTCACACCTCTAATCCTACCTACTCAGGAGGCAGATATCGGGAGGATGGAGGTTTGAAGCCAGTCTGGGCAAATAGGTCACGAGACTCTCCTGTTTTTGAAAAAAACCTATCACGAAAAAAGGGCTGGTGGAGTAGCTCAAGGTATAGGCCCTGAGTTCAAAACCCCAGTACTGCAAAAATAAATAAATAAATAAATAAATAAACAGAGGAGTTGGGTGACTGCCATGTCTCCCTAAGGCCAGAGAAGCTGCCCTGCGCCCTAGTGTACACTACTTCATAGCTCCTGAAGTGGGCCGGTACCCTATAGTACAAAGACAGAAATCGAGTCCCAGGCCAGTCCTGGTGATGCCCTTGGGTCCTGCATTCAGGACCGGGGAGCAGGTCCCCCCAGCCAGGGAGGTCCCCTCTGACACTTGCCCACTCAGTTTCTGTGCTCAGCAAGCTAGTGCACAGTAACTGTGTTGTCATTTACTAATTAATTCACAGGTTCAAAGTGGACATCCCAAATGCAGCACAAACAGCGGCTTTAATTTTTAATCACCATTATTATGCGGCTCTTACTGAACTCTGGCTGCAAAGTCCTGGATCGCTATGCTGCTCCCTTCCCTTTACAAACGAAGCGCTCTGAAAAGCAGGCGCTAGGCCCACAGCTGGAGAATTCTCTGGCTGCAGGGCCTGGAGAGGTCAGCGCACCCAGTCCCCTGGGAGCCAACTGCCACTACCATGCTGTGACCGGGCATGGCCTCGTCCTCCTCCCTTTTATCTTGGGGACCTGATTTATCCTGCGCAAACTCTGACCTCATGGAAAAGGTGCAGTCTCTAGCATGGAGGGGTAGACTTTGAATCTGGGCTTTGTCGGCCATCAGTTATAATCCTGGGCCAGGCATCTGATGACCTCTCTGCACCCCAGAATCCATTATCAGCAAAATAACTGGCAAAGTGCTGCCTCCCTACAGGGCTGTGGAGAAGTGAGAAGTACCTGTGGTGTCTGACATGGGGGAGCAGTTTTATGAGAGTTGTCCTTCCATGAGAAATGGGACTTGTCTGATGCCCTTCCCACCCCCAGGGAATGCATGTGGCCTGATGTTTACCCAGTGTCCTGCCCCCAGGTGCCACCCTGTCTTCAAGTTTATTGAAGCGTCCAAGTTTGTTCCCAAAGGCCCCAATAAAAATTTCTCTGGAGAGTTGCGGGGGTGGGGTTCCCAGCTTATTCAGCCACTACTGTAGGATCTATGGTGTTGGAAGCTAGAAAGCCCTGGTGTTGGGAGGTGGAGGAGAGCAGGAATTCCAGTGACCCACAGCTGGGACTGTTCAGGGACAATGACCCAGTATGCCCTGCCTTTTTCACTGCTGTTTGTGCTCCAAAGGAGATGCCACTTGGCTGGGATAGCTATTGACATCACAATAGCCACTTGAAGGGCACAGCAAGAAGACCCAGCACCCAGAGCCTGGTGGCTTTGAGTCAGTTGGTTCTAGGCCTGTCCCAGGCTTCCCAAAGACCATGAGCTCAGATCAGTGCAACCCCCCAAAGCCAAGCTCCTCCCAACACCCCACTTACATTGCCTCTCCAGGGCCAGTAAGACAGCCAAGATCCCTGAAGCCTGAGATAGTGATTGGGGCTCTCATATGGGTCCTGTCGTTGGATAGTCAAGGGAACAGGACATTTGGGGCTCAGGGAGTCTTCCCTGGTCTGAAGGTGTGTGTGTGGGGGAGTCCCCACAGCTTTTCTTCTTCGATGCTGCTGCCATGTCTCCGTTTGGTCTTCTGGTCTTTCTTCCCTCTTCTGGTTCTGTGCCCAGAGGCCCTGCAGGCTGAACAGAGGTTTCCCAATGGGCATACAGGCAAATTTCCACAGCCCCCATACATTAGGGAAAAGGAGCCCATGGCCTGCAACTCAGGGGAGGCCCCAGGCTCAATATCCTATTGGCAAAACCAAATTGGCAGACATGGCAGATGGAGCCAACTCAGGGTAATACTCTGATCTCTTCCTGTACCCACAGTCCTTCTGGCTCCCTTCATGTGGTTTCTGGACCACCTAGGCTCTGGGGGGACAGTCATTCGTTCTTTCATGCACTCAAAAATATTTTTCAACTTCTACTCACTCTGGAAGATTCAGAACGAACAAGTCACAGCTACTTGCCTAGGAGTATGTGGTCAGCAGAATAATGGACCATATCCTAGTACCCCAAACCTGTGAACATACTTGTCAAAAAGGATACCTGTCACTGTGCATAGCAAAAGGGAGCTTGCAGATGAAACTCGAGTTAAGGATCTAGCTGGGCATGGTGGTTCACGTAGGCAATCCCAGCACTCAGGAGGCAGAGGCAGGAGGATCCTGAGTTCCAGGCCAGCCTG